CGTTTTATGACAGCAATACTGTGATGGCCCTTACGACATTTCATGTTTCCAATTTTCAGTCAGACGTCTGTAGTCCTACAATTCTACCAAACCTAAGCTTTTCATGACAAAGGCCAAAAAAGACATTATTTTGCAATATTTAGTGAAATCATAGCTTAGTTGTAGTGGTCCTTCAAGAATCACACAGACGACTGATACACATAAAAAGTTAAGAAAACCTCTTTGCAACCCTTTAAAGGGATATACACAAAATTATCCTCCATGGCACCAAACAATTTCCTACCTGGAGGGTGGATTTAACCAATGTAACCCACTAAAAATGGACAATCAAAGGATAGTTAAGAGTTTTCAAATTGTTCAGTAACAAATTCTTTGCTGTCTTTCTTGCTTTGTTCAGTACTGTTAAAGTTTCCACATCTCTGTAGAGAAATTCTTTGCTGTGTTCATTGTCAATATCTAGTTTTCTCCAGTGTGAACTAAGAATTCTTTCTGCTTTTTTTCAGATACATATAATGAACAGGCTATTCACGATGCCCTACAGAGACTAGCTCTACGTCAGCAAGCTAGACAGTACTCTGCTGTCAACAGTAGCTGTGTTTTTAGTCAAGAGAAACTAGCATCTCGGCCACCAACAGGATTTAATCATAAACAGGAAAGATTGGTACCGGTACCAGCAGTTCCTGATTATAGTAAAACAATGGCGTCACAGAATAGACATTTAGACAGTCAACATTCCCTACCCACCTCGACAGCTCAGGTTCGCTATAATACCGAAGATGGCTACTCTCGTCCAGTGACAAGCACTTTTAAACGTACAACTCCTCAGGCAGTGTCCAAACCATCTTCAGTCTTACGAGCAAATCATCCACAAAATGCTAGCACAACCTTTAATACCTTCATTGAGGACTCTGGACAAGCTCGTGATATTGCTAATGCTTACCAACAGCTGACTGGCAACACTAATTACAACAACTCTTACCACAATTCTCGACAATTACAGTTCGCTCAGCAACAAATGTTTAAACAGCAGCGCTTGATGGAACAGAGTAAGGCTCTGCTGGAACAAAGTAGAGCCAAACATCAAGCTATGGTTGCTCAAGCTCATGCAGCCCAAAGAACTCACAACATAAAACCCATTTCGGATTCTCAAACGGCTTCAAGTGAACGCCGATCTGTGAAAATCCCACCGAGGACGAGCTCATTGTCCAGACTTAACAGTGTAAATGACCAATCACAACCCAGAAACAATTCAGACATCAGTGAACGTGTCCCTCCTCGAAGAGTCAACTCTTCTGATAATATTCCTCAAAAAGTTTCAAAACCACAAACTGACAATTCTACAAGTGACTCTGAGAGTCGTCGCAGTGTTCGACCCCCGAAACCCAGGCATAATTCAGAATCAATGAGTCAGTCTCAGAAGCCAAAAGAAAATCAGCGCCTTGGTAAGAAACAAAAGTCTGTGGATAGTATACCTAATTCTACTAAAGAAGATGTTGGTAAACCTGAAGGCCCTGGTAGGTCTGATGTGGATGACAACAATCAATCCTTTGCACCTCAACCACCAGAAGAACCAGCTGGTTTGAAGAAGCTGCCAAGCTCGTACAGAGTAGCTAGGTAGGTATCCTACAAGACAAATAATTTCAACCCAAGCAACCATTGATCTGGAGTGTAAATATATGCCAGTAATTTTATACGCCAAAATGAAATGACACAATTTTTGACCAATTTCACTACATGTTAAAATTGTGTATAATCAAACAGAGATGACCGTATTAAAATTCCCAAAAATCAAAAAATGTTTAATGACTTATTGCCCTTGTGAGGTCAAATAATATCTTTTATATGACCCAAGACACATTTTTACCCCATGAGTTTTACCTTTCTGGTCGTCTAAACCCCCAAAAATGATTTCTATGCATGTTAGTCCATTTGACATTATGGTAAAAGTAGACCTCTTATAAAAGGGTTGCCGTGCTCCATTTTCTTTGCAGTGTCACATGACATTTGTCAACTCAAGTCTTTGATACAACTCTATATAACTGACTAAAACAGAGTGCTTGTGCATTTTCTTTGCATCGATGCCCACTTGCACCAAGATATTTGAAATGAAATGTCATTTTTTTTTTCAGGATGCAGACAAATGGTGATGATACTAAACATTTAAATCTAGAGTTTTATAATAGTTTAAAATATGATAAACATACTGGTCAGACTAGATCACGAGGTGGTGACAGTAAGTCAACTTAACTTTCCTTTTGATCAACTTGACATCTCAAGGGTATATATTCCCAAAGCTAGCAGAATTGCAAGTTCAAGATCATCACTTTCATACAATATTTCCTTTAGTTCCAATGAAAATATGTATATAATATTTGTATTGCAAGTAAGAAATTGTTGGAAACACAACAAAAAATCCATGCAGAATTGAGCCTTTTATAAAAGCGATTTTAAAGAGGTTTTCTAAATTTTTTATGTGTATCAGGGAAATTGATAGCATCAATTTGCATCATTCTAATTTTTAGTCATCTATGGTTACTGTAATTCCACTAATACTAAGTTTTTGATGACATCACTAATCGCAAAAATTTGCTATATCATAAGATGCCCTTAGCGATTCTTCAAACACTTAGTTTTAGAGGAATTGCAGGAACCATGGATATCTGATGGAAAATTGGAATGGTGCAAATTGATGTTATCAGTGTCCCTGATATACATGGACAATTTAGTAAACCTCATTACAATCTCTTTAAAATTCAGACTCATAAAAATCAAAATTGTATGTTTTTATATCCGTTCATTTCTTATCCATCAACTAATTGGTGACACTAAGATACCAATACATTTTCACCATATAAAATAAAACATGCTTTTTTTTGCAAAAATCGTTAATATTTTTTTTTTCAGCATGGTAAGCAATAACAGATATAAATAAGCTTATAAACCACATTAAACATTCCATTGTTATACAGCAAATTTATTTGTCGTTTTTATTTTAGACCTGAAATTGTGATATTATTTTTAAATCTTCCATGTATTGTCTTTTGTCATAATATATACTGTATATTTGCGAATATAACGCGCAAGCATGTATAACGCGCATCTTTTCTTACCCTTCAGTATATCTGAGAAAATCTATGCACACCCCTCGTGACATGTAATAGTCCAGTAGTCTGAAGATTACTTTTAACATTTCTATATTCCCCTGCTAAAAAATTCAATTTTGAACTGGTGCATATTTTCTCCTTTAACTGTACTGTATTTTTTTAAAGTTTTGAATAAACTGTCCCTAGTATTTTAATATTACCATTTCAGTTGATATTCAATGATCCGTCCATTTTTGTTTTATGTTTATGTTTCAATGTATGTAACACTGTACATTTATTATCGCCTTTGATGCCAATATTAATGAGCTCATTTAGATAACTGTTAATTAGCCCCATTTAAAGGTAATGTCCCCAATAGAAAGAATGCCAACTCAGATTTGAAGCACATCCTATATTGCATTCATAATGACCTAAAAAAATAATTACTACGGCTTTTTTTTGTTTTGCACATGACTATTCATTCCCAAATAGAATATAAAAATACTGTATATTACATTATACTGTGATATTGAAAAAATAGTCCAGTGATAATTGGATAATATATATCGGTATATGATAAATTGAATAATATTATATAAATGATAAATTGAATAGTAAACTATATATAAATGATAAACTGTATAGTATACTGTAAATGATAAATTGAAATGCATATTTATATTTTCATAAACTGAATAATTTATAATTTCTGATGATAAATTGAATAGTATACTGTAAATGATAAATTGAATAGTATACTGTAAATGATAAATTGAATAGTATACTGTATATGATAAATTGAATAGTATACTGTATATGATAAATTGAATAGTATACTGTATATGATAAATTGAATAGTATACTGTAAATGATAAATTGAAAAGTATACTGTAAATGATAAATTGAATAGTATATAAATGATAAATTGAACATATATTTTATCATAGAGATGATATTTATTGAAATACATAATTTATGATGTACATCGTACATGTTTACAAAATAAGATTCTAAATGTTGAATATGGTAAAGCAATTGAAATTTCCATTATCTAATGAATAAAAAATGTTATTTTAAGGCTTTATGGCTACTTCAAGGTAGGGCTGGGCAATATACTGGTATCATGATAAATACCGGTATAGGAATTTATATTATTAATAATATCACCCGATGGTAGTGAAATATTGCCGTATCGTGACATACGGCTTTTATCATGATATATTGTCAAATTTTTGTCCAAATAGGATCCGCTTAACAATTCTAACAAGTAACTCAATATTTGAAACAGATAGATTTTTCATGATGTTAAAGATTAGGGTTTTTTAAGTGATATTTATTTTTTTTTGTTACATTTAAAATTTCTAGATAGAAAAAAACATTTTATTAAAAACCAGTAAAAACCATAACGTGATATATTAATGCTTAATATCGTGATATCCACTTGGGCCCAGGCCTACTGAATTGAAATACATGTCTATTTCCAATTGTATTATTGTTTTTCTGTGTATATTGAAATATATTTATTTATACAAAAAAATCTATCCTTTTTGGGCTACTAGGTTCATTCTTAATAAAATAGGGAACACCTTTCCAATAAATGTTTGAAGATCATTATAAGAATCAAATAACCCGTTGAGAAAAAAAAACACAATTGATCTACGACTAAGCAGTTTAAGCAAAGAGGCACCTAATATATGTCACAATTAGCATAGCCGAGTTTCGCCCAAACCCTGTACCTCTGCTTTCGTAACTTTGTCATTAGTATAAAGTTACAACCTTTACTCCCCATTGAGAAATTGTCTTTAGTGCGGTGTTAGGGGTAATTGTTGCAAATGGTTGATTACTATCAATTTCAGCACATTTCAGGAAAATGACAGTGTCCAGCAGTCTGTAAAAAAAGTATAAAAAAGTTTCTAGCTAAGCATGTTTCAAAGCCTCCTTTTTACTCAATGGTGCCAGTTTATCTTCATTTTTCTTCACAAAATCTTTGATTATTTTAGGGTCTGTTCTAAAATGATTTCGTAATGCCCAGCCGATAGATTTCTGTATGAAGAATTCTTTCTCATGAGCACATTTTAAACAGTATCTGAAACAAAGAAAAATAATAATAGACTATTACAATGTTATGAAAAGTATGACAATGGTGAGAAAAGTATGATTTGGCCTATGTTGATAAAAGTGTTATCATGATTAAATGCGGCACTCATGAATGAAGATAAATATACATGTATGACTGCATTGAGAACCATTACCTAGATAATTAATGTACCTACATGTATATGATTAATTTCAACGAGAATCATCACTAAGACAAATGTATGATTGTATTGAGTATAATGACCCCCCCCCCCCCCCCCCTCAAATAAGAATGTGCATGCATGATTGTATTGAGAATCATGAACATGGTAAATGTTGATTGCATTGAGAATTATGAACATGGTAAATGTAGGAATGCGTTGAGAACCATGAACATGGTAAATGTATGATTGTATTGAGAATCGTAAACATGGTAAATGTATGATAGCATTGAAAATAATGACCCAAAATAAATGCACATGCATGATTACATAGAGAACATGAACATGGTAAATGTATGATAGCATTGAGAATCATAAACCACAAAATGTATGATAGCATTGAGAATCATGAACGTGGTAAATGTATGATTGCATTGAGAATCATGAACACGGTAAATGTATGATAGCATTGAGAATCATGAACGTGGTAAATGTATGAATGAATTGAGAATTATAAACATGGTAAATGTATGATTGCATTGAGAATCATGAACACAGTAAATGTATGATAGCATTGAAAATCATGAACATGGTAAAGGTATGAATGAATTGAGAATTATAAACATGGTAAATGTATGATTGCATTGAGAATCGTAAACATGGTAAATATGTGATCGCATTGAGAATTATGACCCAAAATAAATGTACATGCATGATTACATAGAGAACACGGTAAATGTACATGTATGATTGCATTGAGAATCCAGAGCAAGATAAATTTCCTGTATGATAGCATTCAGAATATTTAGATAATTGTATGATTGCATTGAGAATCTTCACTGGGATAAATGTATGACAACATTGAGAATTATGTCCAAAATAAATGTACAGGTATGATTGCATGGAGAATAATGACCAAGATAAATACACTGTATGACAACATCGAGAATCATCACCAAATAATGTGTTTCACATTTATTTCGATTACCTGAATAATCTATCTGTATCTGTATCGTCTTTATACATTAACTGATGTAAAATAGCTGTTCTTCTTAACCACATATTATCATCCTCTATCCATTCATCCATTAGTTTATTATATTTCATCTTATCACTAGCAACTAGTCTACCCACACCTAAACATGTTTAACATGGCTTAGACAGCATCATTGCACACTTTAGGCCGATGTCCGAAAAAAGCATTTTATGATATTAAGGAAATCGATAGAAACTATAATATATTATCAAATCAAATTCCACTCGTACATAATTGTCCGAATAGGCCAGAATAAAGGGATCATAAAAAGTTTTTTTGGGGGGCGAGGGGACTTCTAGCATCGATTCTGAAAAATTCTGACAACCGACCAATTCCATTACTGCAATACCATACACCATTGCCCCTCCGGATATATTATTTGCCCCTCCGAACAATCAAGTTTGAATATTACTAACCTTTATAAGCCAATTCATCTACTGTATCCCACCAACTTTTATGAGTTATCAAATGTTTTAAGACGGTGAAATTCTGGTCGTTCCATTTCGGTTGATTAATATGTTTAATATACTGATCAAAATAATCCAATACAAAACATTGGTATTCTCTTATTGGTTCTTCCCACAATAAATAAAACATATCATACATTTCTAGATGTGATAACATTTTATGAGATGCAAATATCTGAAAAAAATTATTTTTTAAATAGGAGTGATACAAAACTATGATAACTGTTATAAAAGTATGATAATTGAGATAATTATATGAAATTTGACAACTCGGAGATATAACTTGATAAAAAGTATGATTAATGAAGTATGAGTATTATAATTTAAATACTCATACATGTGACATGATATCTGAAAATGATTACTAATGTAAAAGTATGATGACTGAAATATAAGTATGAGAACTGAGATAAGCCTAAATGAGACTAACTGAGAAAAGTATGATGACTAAGATAAACGTATGATGTCTGATCAATACAACATTATGAGAACTAGAATATGAAAGCATGAGCAGGGAAAATAGTATGATGACAGAAAAAAAATAAGTATGATGACTGATATAAAAGTATGAAAGGGAGATAAGCAGAAATGAGACCAACTGAAAAAAGTATGATGACTAAGATAAACGTATGATGTCTGATCAATATAAAGTATGAAACTATATATGAAAGTATGAGAATTGGATAAAAGTAATCAAATCAATGCTTTCTTGGAAAATGGAATGATATTGCCTTAGCCTAAGTAGAATACAATGTTATGGAGCCACGAATGGAAGTAATAGTATGATTATAAATGTATAAATATGACAATCATACATTATAAGTAAAAAAGTATGATTACTAAGATAAACGTATGATGTCTGATCAATTCAATATAAAGTATGAAACTAGATATGAAAGTATGAGAACTGGATAAAAGTATGATAACTAATCAAATCAATGCTAACTAAGAAAATAGTACGATATTGCCTCAGCCTTGGGAGAATACTATGTTATGGTGCCACAAATGGAAGTAAAAGAGTAAAAGTATGAATATAAATGTATAAATATGACAATCATACAGTCATATACTATATATCATAAAATACAACGAGTATGACAAAGTATGACTACTATCTCACCTCTTTGTTAATGGCTCTTCTTTCGGGATACCTCAAACCCAGAAATTCAAATTGGTTCCTCATATACTTTGTAACAAATGCAGCATATTTCTCATTTTTAGCTGCAGTATATTTAATCTTTACTGTTTTAATCAAGTTCACCACCGCCATCGATGGTTTAGAATTTCTGACTGTTTCTTTGGAAATCAAGTCTGTGGTCGTCTTCTTCTTCCTTTTAGACAGAGGTTGTTCAGATATGGTATCTGGTTTCTTTGATCTTTTCACTTTCGGCATTTCTCTCTGCAATAAATTGACAGTGACATCATGTGTAGAAGATTCTATTAGAACAGTTTTATTTTTGTCATGGTGCGTTCTTAGGTGAAGTTAAAATTATAGAACTTAAAACATGAATTTTTGAAAATTTAAAAATTTTGCAGTATTTCTATGATCATTTTGCAGTCTCGATAAATTAAAATAGGGCTCAAAGATAATAAAATTCTCCTATACCAGGATTCTATTTTTTGAGGAATTAACTGCAGTTTGTAGTCCAAAATACCTTTATAAAAGTCGGTTACCTCCCTTCCATCTCATGAGGTTATTAAATGGATCTCTGTTTAACAGCAGAAGAAATTCACTTATATTACACTTATATCAGAATGTACTGTCTCCCTCTCTCGACCTAAGTCGCTTACATCTGAAGAAAATTATGTCTAAAGCATGCTTACCTTGTAATCTTAAATATTTACACAAAAGAACTATAAGATTTCAGTTACGGAAATCATGACCCAAATTATGAATGTTGTTGCATACTCACTTATAATAGCAAGCCACACCTCCGCATTTTTCGCGCCTTATTAGAAATAAAAAGAATTGTCATGGTTCGGGGACTTCAAATGGACATTTAGCTATCAACTCGTGTCCAAGTTTCAAGTTGTGCTAGTTGGTGACAGCAGGCCTGTAGCCAGCCCAATGTTCCAAGGGGGCCGCCGCATTTACATTTGCTTCAATTGAGAGTGTGATCGAATTTTGCATGGGGGCGAATATAGTTCCAGGGCCTGGGTGACAGGCAGAGGTGTTTCAACTAGGGGCCAGGGGGTGCCAGAAAATAGGCTGGATGGCCCGAGTTTATTCGCCATATGTAAGATAGAAAAATTTGTGTGAACAATGTTTTAATTACTTTCTTAGGTTAATTGGAAATTAAATTAAGTTTAGCATATAAACCTACACAACACTCGACTTCAAATTTTTTGATTCTCAGATTCTCTTGTTCCTTTCACCGTCTGTCGACCGCCATTCTTGTCCGTGAAGATAAACGAGACGTAAAACTTCAATTCATTTCATATCTTATGACTTTGCTCATGTTACCTTTCGCCCTACAAAAATTTCCACTAAGCATGTTTCAAAGCCTCTTTTTTACTCAATGGCGCCAGTTTATCTTCATTTTTCTTCACAAAATCTTTGATTATTTTAGGGTCTGTTCTAAAATGACTTCGTAATGCCCAGCCGATAGATTTCTGGATAAAGAATTCCTTTTCATGAGCACATTTTAAACAGTATCTGAAATAAAAAAAAAACATATCAGTTACAAAACTCTACTTTGGATGTTACGCTTTCATTGACAAACATTCCTCTTGAAGTTTTTAATGCGTAAGAAAAGAAAGTGTACGACATACGCCTTAAAAAGAGTGATTTGAAAAAAAAATTACATTACGTTTGAGAAAATGTAGGAGGTATAAAAGAGATATGATTTTCAAGAGAAAGTACGAAATTTTAGAACGAAAATTTGGAGGTATGAGAAAAGTATGATTTTCAAGAGAAAGTATGAATTCGTAATGATACAGTAAGAGATATGAGGAAGGTAATGGCTCTCAAGAGAATAAATGAATTGTAAAGAAAAGTAAATGGTAGGATTTTCTATAGAAAATATGATTTTGTAAAGAAAAGTGGGAGATATTGAAGATATGAATTCCGAGAGAAGTATGATTTCGGCAAAAAAATAAAAGTATAATATAAAGGTGTGACCATGTAAAGACAGTATGACTTTTAACAAATGTGGAATCGACAGATTTTCATTTATTTCGATTACCTGAATAATCTATCTGTATCTGTATCGTCTTTATACATTAACTGATGTAAAATAGCTGTTCTTCTTAACCACATATTATCATCCTCTATCCATTCATCCATTAGTTTATTATATTTCATCTTATCACTAGCTACTAGCCTACCTACATCTAAACATTTAAAAAGGGTGGAACAGAAATATCCATTGTACTAGAAGTTCCAAAAAAATTACCGAATTATGACGTCATCATCGGAATTGTTATTTGGTTTGGCGTTATCATCTGTTCGTGTTCTCTGGTACAGTAACCACAATACTTTGGAAAGTTGCAAGGTAGAGATTATAGCATTTGACAATCCAGTTTCCCTAGAGCTGAATTTGAACAAAGCGCAGGCGGGACTTCCCCGGTATATCGTTTGAAGTTATAGGTCGTCAAGATATGCGTACAAGCGTATGGAAAAACCTGTACAGAATCCCTTTCAGGGGTCTATAGAGATAACTTTATTTCAGAAATTAGCGTCATGTTGACAAGCTCAGTCGCCCAATAATACTGTGTGCTCTGGGAGGTGTAAGAATTCCTTGCCTTGCTGACAATGACATAGTCTATAAGCTACTAACCTTTGTAAGCCAAAGCATCCACCGTGTCCCACCAACTTTTATGAGTTATTAAATGCTTTAAGACGATGAAATTCTGGTCGTTCCATTTTGGTTGATTAATATGTTTAATATACTGATCAAAATAATCCAATACAAAACATTGGTATTCTCTTATTGGTTCTTCCCACAATAAATAAAACATATCATACATTTCTAGATGTGATAACACTTTATGGGAGGCAAATATCTGAAATAAGCAAATATATCAAAACAGATGATGCGTTTAACTTTAGTTTGTAGGTTCCTTGTTGGACTCTCGGTGCTTTAATAAAATTCAGCCTGAAACACCTTGCTTACAGTTCATCAAAACATGATAGGACCTACTTTTCCTGGATTATTGGGGAATAGCAAGAACCACAGACGCCAGAATTAAATTGGAATGGTACAAATTGATACTGTCAGTGTCCCAAACAGCATTACAATGTTAGAACACCTCTCACAATCTCTTTAATGTCGAATCCACTTTCATTGGTTGAAAATTTCACTATCCAATAAAATATTAGAATTTATCTACTGAGTTAAGATTCAACGTGATTGACACTGATTGGTGATAATTGGTCTAATCAGTCGGCACATTCTGAACCTTAGAGTCACGGTTTGTTCGGAATTACTCGTATCTAACTGTACAAAAATCAGCAATTTTTTGAAAATTTTGGGAGATTTGAGAATCGAGCTTTTGTGAGCTTTTTTACAATAGGATTATTTATTTCCTTCCAAAATTCCAAAAGTAAAAAATCTTTAGTTCATAATTTATGAACTAAAACGGTGTACAAGGCTTCTCAGTTGTGTGAAAGTCAGTATTTGTACCACTGTTAACGAAAAGTCACGATTGTCTCGATTAGGAAGGATACAGCTTGGGTTCTAATTAGTTTTTAGCCTCTATCATCTAGTCCAACTTTGTACAGAGTTGAGTCTAAATAGTTGTAGTCTTGATTATCCAGACTGAAATCTGCTTATTCTCCCTCTCAATGCGTTTTTGCAAATCTATTGGTTATTGACTACCAGAGCTAGAAATGCCATGTTGCGACAAGATCGTGCATTTTTTTGTACAGTTGACAAAGATGTCTGAATCAATCGAAAATTTTTATTTTAAATCACCATTCTCTTTGATTTTGAAAAGGAGTTTTTTGTCCCTCACTTCTCAAGCTTTCGGGATCAATGGCAATTTACAAAGTCATGCACTGAAAAATGAAGGGAAAGTTCTCTTTGAGGCTTGCGATTATCCCTTGGTGTTCAATGGTACACGTGGGTGGTAATAGTACCATAGTGTGGAATCATGGCTAAAATAAAAACATCCAAAGTTAAACACACAAGCAAAAGCATAATCATTGCAGTAAAAGTATCTTATGATTATCAAATTGAAAGTATGATTAAGATTATTATGGTAAACGTATGATTATCATGGTAAAAGGATGACTATTGAGGTAAAAGTATCATTGACTATATTTTGTAAAAGTATAATTAAATATTATTGACGTGAAGGTATAATTATTGAGGTAAAATTATGACCATCGAAGTAAAAGTATGATTATTAAAGTAAAAATATGATCATTAGAGAAAAAGTATGACAATTAGTAAGAGTATCCTGATCGCTGTAAAAGTATGATAATTGTCAATATTGAATTAAAAATATGATTATTTCGGTAAAGAATGGTTATTTAGGTAAAAGTATGATTATTGAAGTAAAGTATGATTAATTCGGTAAAGAATGGTTATAGAGGTAAAAGTATGAGTATTGAAGTAAAAAATGATTATTGAGGCAAAAGTATGAGTATTGAAGTAAAGAATGATTATATAGGTAAAAGTACGATTATGAATCAATGATTATCGAAGTAAAGAATGATTATTGTGGCGAAAGTATGAGGAGTATTGAATTAAAGAATGATTATTGAGGCAAAAGTATGAGGAGTATTGAATTAAGGAATGATTATTGAGGCAAAAGTATTATTATTGAGGTAAAGTATGATTGGAGGTTGATATCAAATTTAAAGAAAGACCCTCACCTCTGTGTTGATGGCCCTTCTTACTGGAGAACGTAGTCCCAGAAATTCAAATTGGTTTCTCATATATTTAGAAATATACGTGGCATATTCATCATTTTTAGCAGCAGTATATTTAGTCTTGACTGTTTTTATGAAGTTGACCACCGCCATGGATGGTTCAGGCTTTCTAGTTGTGCTTGTTGATGTAGGCTCCGTTTTCTTTCGTTTAGAAACAGGTGGTTCAGATGCTGCAGTTGGTCTTTTAGTTCCTTTTGAAGCCTTAGGCATTCTGTCTCAAAGAAATAGAATTGTAGAGAGATCTCTAAATCTTTTATTTGATATTTGTAAGGATCGGCCCGTAACCCATCTGGCTTTCCCAAAGGTAGTAACCATTGATCCAATAAACCGCTATTTCCTTGCTAAATTTGATTGATGGAAGATTTACTCATAGAGCAATCACTCATTGAAACAATATAATGCAATAGAAAGGATTTACACAGATCACCGTTTTAATCGCTACACACCATTGCAACGTAAGTGTTATGGGGTCTTATTATAATAATGCCAGAAGTTCAGAGTAATTTAAACTTTAATTAAAAGAACATTGGTCTGAAAGAGGATCAGATTAGATTTTGACTCTTTTTGGACTTTGAAGCGGCAACATGCTATATAAGTGCATGTATGCCAACAGAAAATGTGATCACTTTCGTATCCTTGACTATTACAAGCCTTTTTCGGGAAGGGCATTTTTAAAAAGTCAACTCTATGAATTTGCGAGAGATTAATGAAATAAATGTTGTCTGTAGTACAATGGTTCGTCAATAACATGGTTTATCTCCCTTCTATTTTAATACCTTTATGACAACATGCTTGGAAATTAAAAACACACCTTATCTATATTATGTTTTGAAGAAACTGACATTGTAGTTTATGCTCTGACTGTAAAACTATAGGTAGTCAAGCTTACCTTGAAACTTATTGGTAGTCTATTACTATGTTATAAACAAGAACAGAACTAATAGCTACTAAATATCACCACGGCTGACTGATAAATGACCCATTTCAATGACTATACTCGTTTTTATAGACACTCCCATTTTTGCGAGTCTTTTCAAGACTTCACAGGTATAAATAAATGCAAAGAAAATATCATCTTAAAAGTCTCAGTTTTATGTACGCCTGAGCAAAAGTGAATTTTTTATGACGGACCCTATAATATGATTGACTAAGGTCGTAAGAGTCAGTCTACATTTAGCCCTTATACAACAGACCAGTCCTCCATGCAAGACGAATCATGCGACCATGTTAGAATTGTATAGGATTGCGATCTTTATGCACATCTGGACCCAATACAAGCCAAAACAAGAACAGTCTGTTGGAATTTGGGTTAGAATAAATAGTAGACTTAGTTTTATATATGCTGTGTTCAGGACATCTTTTACTACCCGAACTAAAGTGGATTGTTCGTGTTTATGGTTTGAATTATACCCGGTTTTATATACACATCTCTGTTTAACGAAAGTATAATATGGATCCAATTCATCGAAAAATAAGTCATATCCACTGACTAAAATGCCGGCCAATTGCGTGAAGTACCACCAGTAGCGCCTGAAAAACTTTGGATTATTGAGGGGCCACCGCCAACTTTTTGAATTGAAAATAACTGTGTGAATTTGCACAGGGCCGTGGCTAGCCTAGGTTCTCAGAGGGGGTGGGGGAATTATTTTGAATGGGGCTCAACTATAGTGACTCATCTCATCTAGCCACGGGCCTGATACTACATGTTATGGAATTTGAAAGAGTATTCCAAGAGGATAAAGCAATTATTTATAATACTTGAATTATTGTCATGTTTAACATGAAACATAATTTACCACTGCTAGTGCTTGATATATATACAAACGTTTTATTCAATAATCAAAAGTTATGACATTTTTCTTGCTAGCTATCAAAAGTTATGACATTTTTCTTGCTAGCTATCAAAAGTTATGATATATTTCTTGATAGTTATCAAAAGTTATGACATTTTTCTTGCTAGCTATCAAAAGTTATGATAATTATATTTCTTGCTAGCTATCAAAAGTTATGACATATTTCTTGCTAGCTATCAAAAGTTGTGACATTTTCTTGCAAGCTATCAAAAGTTATGACATTTTTCTTGCTAGGTATCAAAAGTTATGACATTTTTCTTGCTAGCTATCAAAAGTTATGATAATTATATTTCTTGCTAGCTATCAAAAGTTATGACATATTTCTTGCTAGCTATCAAAAGTTATGACATTTTCTTGCAAGCTATCAAAAGTTATGACATTTTTCTTGCTAGGTATCAAAAGTTATGACATTTTTCTTGCTAGCTATCAAAAGTTATGATAATTATATTTCTTGCTAGCTATCAAAAGTTATGACATATTTCTTGCTAGCTATCAAAAGTTATGACATTTTCTTGCAAGCTATCAAAAGTTATGACATTTTTCTTGCTAGCTATCAAAAGTTATGACATTTTCTTGCAAGCTATCAAAAGTTGTGACATTTTTCTTGCTAGCTATCAAAAGTTGTGACATTTTCTTGCTAGCTATCAAAAGTTATGACATTTTTCTTGCTAGCTATCAAAAGTTATGACATTTTTCTTGCTAGCTATCATAACCTATGACTTTTGTCTTGCTATCAATATTAATGATATTTTCATGCTATCAAACGTCAAGATAGTTATGATATTTTTCTTGCTATCAAAATTCATGATACTTTTCTTGCTATCAAAAGTTATTGATTGGAACAGCGGTTTTCAATAACAGTCGTCTCGGAATCGGTTCTCCATAGCGAACTTCCCAAGCTTGTGGTTTCTTTTTCTCGTTTTTAGCTCTAAGACCTTTTATATAAACGCCGAGTCCGCGCATTTTATCCTTTGTGGTCAATCGTGAGGTCGTTGAGCCGTTGGTGTTGCGTAATAAAGTTACAGACTTGGTCGCCGCAGACGTTACAGGGCAACTTCTATGAGATAGTGCTTCATAATTACTGAGACATGTGTATGGTGTGGGATATGATTGAAAACCTAACGTCTCATACGTCTCCGGCAAATGGCACGGAAAATATTTACATTCCGATTTTTTCTTACGGCTGCTGTAGCGACAACTTGTACACACCGGTTCTGATTTAAAACCAGACCATCCTTTAGAACTGTCCTGTTTGTCTCTGAAAGATGGCAGTTGAAAATCCTCATCCCAGGCCGCAGACGAACACGCACTTGGTATGCGACACGTTTTTGGAGCGTCCTGAAGTTCCTGCAAAACGCATTCTGTCTCTTTTTCTAACGCTTTGAACCTTCTCTCATATTTGTCTTCTAATTTCGCCATCTTTTTATCCAAAAGTTGCTTAGCTGCATTATTTAACCTCCTAGCTTGAAGAGCTACTCTATGATTCTGTTTGTTCAATCGTGAAACTATATCCATTATTAAAGTTAATTCTGAAAAAGAAAGTAAAATATATTAAATAAGCATTTCCAATTACCCAAAAAGCCTTTTTTAGGGGGGAGGGGATGGGTGAATTCAGTTCTCGAAGTAATCACATTTCATCCTGGTGATGGACCGATGGTTCTTCTTGAAAATGTCCCAATTTTGAAATATCTGCCATTAGACGTTTGCTACGTCAAATTTGATTGCAGGTAAACCCGAAGTCAGATTTTAAGCCCGAAAGAAGAATTTGATAGCTATTATTGAACTATCAACATTAATAATTAAAAAAATTGTATTATTGTTTAAAAAAAAACACCTAGATATAGTCCCTTTACGTATAATGTCTTACCTGCAATTTAGAGTTATATTATTTCCTAAAGAATCACATATTTTTGGTCGAAAATCCCAAAAGTTTCCAATGATATGTGGTAGCTATATAGAACAAACGAAACAATGTATACAGTTACATTAGCAACAGTAATAGGCTAGACTGAATCAAATACCTACTTAATATCATTAATTTGATCGAAGTCTATATGATACTGTCAATGAACTAAGACTGAAATATGAGCTAATCCCACTACGTAATCTCCGTTTAATCTCTTTTAAGTGTCTATAGATCATAGTAACACCCGATTAAAACAGTATTAGTATTCGTATGAAATATAACCTACTTGTGACCCACCTGTGACGTAATGAGATTGTTATAATGACCAACATCTACACAACTATGCTTTTCTCGGGCCGACTTCCGAAAGCACTGGTCGCTATATCAAAATTCTTCGTACTGTGAGAGAGAATCGAAGCAACGAGACCCCACACACTAGAATGTGATCAATCGTGACAAACAGATTGAAGTAGGCTATATCACTTTTTTCACCCTCTGAAGATATAAACATCAAAATGACGTTATACTTTAAAGGAAGAAGTGAGCCATTTTGGGGGGTAGATTTGAGTGTCGTAAATTGTGAATACTCATTAGATATTTTTGAAGGAATTATAGTGGTTGTTGTACAAGTAGAAATGTACAACAACCACTATAATTCCTTCAAAAATATCTCAAACTAGAAAATTCTTTTTCTTTTTCTGTATATGTCTTTTCTATATATAACAGAGTGTCTTAAAATAAAGATTCGTCATTTTAGCATTCAACGCGGATAATCTCGACACACGTGGATTTGAACTTTGAAATTTCGACAGTGAGCTGTAAACACTATTACTGATTGGCTTAGCTAAAAAAAAAACCCGTTTCTGAGACTAAAGTATGATTGTTCTAAAAGACAGACGCAATCGTCCCTTTAAAGGGAGCCACAACCATCAAACAGATAATCTAAATGGTATTTAAGAAGTAACAAAAGCTAGAAAATCTCTTTTGAATCCTTTTTTAAAGAATCTGTATAATATTTACTGAGAGATAAACTTAAAAGAAATTGAAAATGCAAACTTCTGAAAAAATGAAATAAATCTATCGTGTTTACTGCTCATAATCTCTTATGTCGAATTAACTTACAAGAAAATACGTAACACTAACCTCAACGGGCTTCCATAAACCAACTCCGAGCTCTACAGACAGGCTAAGAATAACTATAAGAAAGCTGCAATCGATGCTTTTCCGATAATCAATAGTAATGAGAAAGGGCGCGAGATCGATAAGGTTATTTAGTAAGTCGACAAGGCAGAGGGACTAATATTTTCCTTGCACACCAGAATGTACAAAAATAAATACTGTTAGAAAAGTACACTTCACATATTTAACCCCATTAAATCGCATAATAAATATATCAATTCCACCATATTCGTAACAATATATGTAAAATCACAAAAAAATAAAACACAAGTAGGTTTAAGCTATAATATACACAAGGAAAAGACAACCATTTCAGACATATAAGATTTGAACGGCATGTAAAAGCGAGGAGCACATATAACAAGATGTAATGACATCATGACGACACATGTATATTGTGTTGAAATGTTATGTGCCCAACCTTATTAAAGAAGTGTGTTATATTCCATAATATCGTCTTGTGTTTTTGTGATACATTTCAGAAATATATAATATAAACATATCAAATAGACAGAACAAGATATTGATACATTACTAATACATGGGGCCTTTAAAAGACGATAGTCGGATCATTGTCAGACCTTGTAAACCTGATCACAATTTTGATTAGCTCTGATCACAATGTTCATTAGCTCTGATCACAATGTTCATTAGCTCTGATCACAATGTTCATTAGCTCTGACCACAATATTCATTAGCTCTGATACGCCCTGACACCTTGTTCATTACCTATGCTCATCCTTATCACTTATAACAATGTTCTTTAGCTCTGATCACAATGTTCTTTAGCTCTGATCACAATGTTCTTCATCTCCTCACAATGTTCTATAGCTCTGATCACAGTGTTCTATAGCTCTAATCGCAGTGTTCTTCAGTTCTAATCACAGTGTTCTTCAGCTCTGATCACAATGTTCTTAAGCTCTGACCACAATGTTCTTCAGCTCTGACCACAGTGTTCTTCAGCTCTGATCACAGTGTTCTTCAGCTCTGATCACAGTGTTCTTCAGCTCTGATCACAGTGTTCTTCAGCTCTGATCACAATGTTCTTCAGCTCTGATCACAATGTTCTTCAGCTCTGATCACAATGTTCTTCAGCTCTGATCACAATGTTCTTTAACTCTGATCACAATGTTCAATAGCTTAGATTTCAAAGTTCTTTAGCTCTGATCACACTGTGCTTTAGCTCTGATCACAATGTTCTTAAGATCTGATCACACCGTTTTCATCCCTGTCTCCCCTTGTCAGTGATGCAGGTCTGAAGGACTGACATGTAAAAAGGCGTCTAGTCGTTCGGGTGAGCGAATACAAAAGGATCCGTGCGCTACAGGCTGTGCACGTTAAAGATCCCTTGGCATTTGGAAATCGAAAATAAATAAATGCTGTCCTGAATTATGTATTCATTCTGATATATAGACTACAGGTACATGTATTTTGCATAATGCATTTCAAGAAGGCACACATACTACAATGAATTATAACGAATTTACGTCACAAGGTTGGGGGTAAATTTATTTTAAAAAATTCTTAATGTAGCTAGAAATAGAGATCTAACTTTCGCTATGGCAAAAATCAAAATGCCATACATACCTTAAAAAACGAAAAAAAAGGGCTGAGTTTCAGCAATAAATGACGAATAGTCTATCACATTTCTGTATTATGCAATTCTATTTGTTTAATCTGAACGACGTACGTAAGGTAATCGCATTACTTACAGATATGACTTTCTTGGCTTTAGATATTAAACTCTTTATTTCTATGTAACGTATACTGTATATCATTTACTTTAGCGTTAATGGATCATGACCGAAATTGTGGAAGAATGAAAAATGTGATTTTCAAACGGGACTCGCTAATGAAAGAAAAGTTTAACTAAAAGAAGCTGTATAACATGGACTTATCATTAACTCCAAGCATCTAACATTTTGTTGTTCCGTTGTACAACATGACCGATATTCTAAAGAGGTAAGGAGCAAATCATCGACTCAAACTTTTGATTAAAATTAAGTCGAACCAAATTCCAGTTATGGTTCAGTTTGAATTTAGATTCACATGTCACAAAAATCCAATAACATTTGAAAATGTTTAGGAAGGTAGGCCGATACCACTTAAATTGAACACTACGCGGATGGAGAATTACGTTTTTACAGTGAAGAACAATTCTATATAGGAAACCGAGGTCCATAATATATTGAAGTAATTGGTTTATAACATTATTCTTTCACTAAATCAATGGTTCCCAACCTTTTTCAGTCTTCACACCCCTGGAGCGATCACCTGGACCTTTTACACCCAAAAAATTTGTTTCGTTCAAATTTCCAGCATGTGATGATGTGAGGTTCTCTCTCAATTCAAAACAAATTCTTCTCCTACACCAGTTGACCACACCCTTGACACCCTAGTTCCGCACCCCAGGGATTGAAAACACCCCAGGATGGGAACCGGGGCACTAAATGCTACTTTACGAATATTAAAATAGGTTATCTAAATTTTGTATGTGTATCGCGGGAACTGACAGAAAACCTCGTTACAATCCCTTTAAAATCTTTTTAAAAATCGTTAATTAACTTATTAAATGTATGTTACACTTTTGCTTATATTTATGAAAGATTTCTTCCAAAAGAGCCGATTGCAAAAGTAAAAAAAAGACGAAATGGTCATTCAAAATCCTTTAAACAATTCAAATTTCCCTATATATAGAAGTACAGAGGTGCGGACTTCTTTTATCGTCAGATAAATAAACCAGTTTCAGATCCTTCAAACTGTAAATCGATTGGATACCCTATATATTGACCAATAGACTTTTGGTAATAGTCAACCGTTTAATTCTGCTTACGTTGATCAATCCTGATTGGTCTAATTAACGATTTCAATCTAAACCAGTTAACTGCAATCCGTACAGAATTACTTGAAACCAACTTGACAAAAATCAGCAATTTTGTGCAAAATATTTTTGATTTGAGAGTCGAATTTTTGTGAGTCAAACACTGAAGGAGCATAAAGGCAGAGTTAAACAAATGGGAATCTAAAAATCAACGGGGAATGAAATATGACAAGAAATATACAGGGTGGGTAGTAAATTGTGTGAAAGGCTGTATTTGGTAGAAAGTTTATTGAATGTGGTGATTGTCAAAACTTAAACGCTTCGAGCTTGGGGTATGATTAATGATGACGTCACACTTGTATGTTAGTCCGAATATAATATCATTAAAGATATGCCGTTTGCCAAAATTATATATCTATTTATTACGCCACAGACTCGATTTAAATTGTTTGTATGCAATAATGAGATAAAAAAAAAACACCGCAAAAAGTACCTGAATGTCAATATGCAACAATCTAGTGTGACCAATATATATTTTGTTTCACAGTTACAAACTCTGCATTGATAAATGGATTACGATTCACTCTTTTTGAATTTTATAACATAGTCTCAGATAATGTGCATTTGCATCTATCTCGCAACTTTCCAAAAATGTACGGTTTTATGATTTTCCGGGTAAGCAATCCGACCAGCATCATTTCGTTTCTATTTTTTTAGGGGGTGGGGGGGGGGACGAAAAGAGGCTGATGAAAGAATAGCCTGTGGTCCCCCTGAAAACTGATAAATTTTGTGGCTCCTGCTGGCCCCCCTTATCTCCTAGAGTAGTTGAATTTGGAAATTACAGAGAATTGCACCAAAATAGTTATTGGTGCATCACTTGAATCACGATTGACTGCTCAATGAACGCGAAAAAGACATACAAAGAGCTCATTAACAAAGAGCCATAATTAACAATATGTAATTAACATAATAAGATTAGGATTAGAATTTTGAAGGCTGAAAGAGGATAATCCTGGACTCCCATATCGAGGTATCTATTGTAAACAAACATTTTCTCATGTCCCTCTTTATTGTAATCATTTAAGCAAGAAAACTCAACGAGGTGAAGGCAACTTTACGAGCAAGACCAGCAATCCAATGCCTTCTTGTGAACACCGAACAAAACTACAGAAGCAAGCAGTTTTGGGCTTCAAACCATCAGCATTCAGACGAACGGTTATTGACAAATCCAAGAAAATCAGCCGCGTTAAACCACCAACTGAACCAGAAGAACGTCAAGTCAAAAATTGGAAGAGGTTAAACACAACGTTTTCTTTGTCGTACCGACTGAATAGACTGAACAGCGATATAGATATGTCTTTGAATTACGAGAGCGACGAAGAAAAAAGTGAGTTTTATCCATTTGTATTCTTTGTTTTCACGGTCTACGATAGTTCTGACCACAGAAACCTAGTGTTGGTTTCTGAGCACAATCTGCTTGTTATTGTTGGACACGAAACTTGTTGTGAGCTTAAATAACACTACATGTATCTTGTAGTTAGCAGTAACAGTTAAATCTGTACTGGTCATCAGGGGGAAAAACTAAAAAATGTGTCACACTGGGTCAAAAATACTCAAATGAATACGACATTGACTTTACGACATACGACTCTGCTCAAGTTTTTTTCTGGAATCAATATAACCACAGGCTCAGAATGGAAATCGGAATGGTGGCTATCTGTTTCACATTCAAATCATATTTACCTAACCAATTGACTACATTGTCTCAATTTCAGGCAACAGATCAACGGCATCACCAAGTAATGCCGACAACACACGAATGGTCTATAGATCAGCATGCAAAAGACTTAATCTGGTACCATCTTCCACATTTATGAAGAGTGTTGATGGTTCCACTGCTAATCTCAACTATCAGGGCCTGCAGCCATTTGGCACCAGAGCTGTTGCCATGGCGTTAGTGGTAGGTATCCCAAGTCTTACTTTCAATGGGTTGATTTTAGTATGAATGCCTAAAGAAATCAAAACACATTTAATGTTTCTACGAAAAGCGTTCCAAATCCAGAAAAGTATGATTTTGGTTTACAATGTTTAGTAAAATAAGTTTTATTTATATTTCAGTCTAATTTGACAATAACAGAACTATCATTACGTGGTAATTCTATTGGTACTGAAGGTTTGCAATGTTTGGTTGATATGCTAAGAGATAATTGTGCTTTGAAGGTTTTGGTAAGTATAACAGAAAATACAATCTTGTTACGATTTCCTGTTTGTGTAATTGTGTTTTTCATATCTACAATTCGCCGAATATTGACGGTGAAATCTTTTCGAACTGGACAATATTACAAAAATTAGTTGCAACTTCATAAATTCTGTTGTTAGTTTTTATTTTCCCTTAGACCCTCCCTCCCATTATAAGTAAATGTACCTGAACATAAATACATGACAATAAGGCCGTGGTATTCAATGCCACAATCCCTTTCATGTATGATATTGAAAGGCAACCTGTTTTATAAACTCAATATAATTATAATTGTAGGATATATCTGATAATGATTTATCAACCGAAGGAGCGAAATTGATAGCCAAAATAATAGAAGAAAACGAAATCTTAGTTAGTCTTGCTATTGCAGGTAAGAAAAAGTATCTTTTGAACCCTTCTTTGCCATCGTCAGTAATTCTTTAACGTTAAATCGTTTATCTGAATCCTTGTTTTTGAAAAAAGGCCAACCGCTGTGGTGTATGCCCTTTTTGGCATTATAAGTATACAGTATATATTTAGAAGGAGATATCCCGATAATGACTTAAACTTTGTGTATTGGATTCGTTCCAGGAAATAAATTAAGAGAAGGCGATGTTCAACCAATTGCGGACTCTCTCGCTGTAAGTGATTTTTGTCTGTTATTTTTATATATAATTTCTGGACCTTTAAAAAAGGCGAAGCAAAATTAATTTTAGAAATTGGTATGACCTTAATTTTGGAGGAGTTTTTTTTCTGTTATTCTGAAATTGGTTTTTATATTTTATAGATAAACACCACATTGAAGAAACTTGATTTAAGTTATAATGAACTGAGTGAACTAGGTGGTATCATCATTGGTAAAGGACTAGGTAAGATATGTTTGTCTTCTAACAACTATTATATTTCTATATAAAACAGATTGTTTTTTTTTTCATAAGCAGATTTTCTTGCTATCATGGTGTGTCTGAAAAATCTTTCTTGCTATCTAATTTTTCCGGCTATCCAGTCAAATCTTTCTTGTCATTTAAAGAGATATTGCCTGTTATCCAGTCAAACTGTCTGTCTATGAAATCAGACCTTTCTGGCTATCTAATTAGATCTTTTTGCTATCTAAACAGACCTTTCTTGTTGTCTGATCGGACCTTTCTTGCTAACTGATCAGATCTTTTTGCTATATGATCAGATCTTTTTGCTCTCTAATCAGATCTTATTTGCTATCTAATCAGAACTTTCTACGTCTATAAACAGATCTTTCTTGCTATCTGATCAGACCTTTCTTCCTCTGTTATCGAAACTTTCTTGCTATCAGATCGAACCCTTCTTGCTATCTGATCAGTCTTTTCTTACTATCAGATCATAATTTTCTTGCTATCTGATCAGATCCATCTGGTTATCTATTCAGATCTTTCGTTCTATATCTAATCAAATATTTCTCGTTAATTAATCAAATCAAAGTCTTTCGTGCTTTCTAATTAGATCTTTCAAGCTAATTTATAAAATCTTCCCCAAGTCTTTCTTACTCTTCAATCAAATCTTTCTTGCTATGTTATTCAACACTTCTACCGAGTCTTGACTTACTCTCCAATTCATTATTTTCCAATTTGCTTTTGTAGCCGGTAATGTTGCTCTGACCCAAGTAAATCTAGGCTGGAATCATCTACGACAAGGAGGAGTTACAGGTGTAGCTAATGGTTTAAAGGTAGGATTTTACTAGTTAGCTATACAGTACAGGTCAATGGAGACTGGCAGTGCAATAGGGGGTAGACTGACTGAATGGTGTGCCAAATGCCACAGGCGCAATCGTCCATAGAGCGTATGAGAAAAGTTAAGAAAAATATAATTGATTTGGTTATGACACATATTTTGGGATAAAACTCAAAAAAATCATTTAAATTTTGTCAGAAATAAAATGGGGGTACAATTGGCGGTGCAAACTGTTTTTCCTATGTTATGTTTTCCTGATATTACTATGAAGAATGGGCCTTCTATTTAAGTTACTGCTTCTGTGCCTAATATATATTTTTAAAAAATACACCATTTCAGGAGAATAGCAGTATCAGATATTTAGACTTGTGTTGGAATGGAATAGGTGATTTTGGTGCCAGATCTCTGGGACAGGTACTGAAAGAGAATACAACATTGGAAGTGTTAGATCTAACGTCATGTCGTATTGGTATGGATGGTGTTGGATTTCTGATGACTGAGATGGTTGGCAATGAAACATTGAAGAAAGTCATTGTAAGCTTCAATTAAAAATTTGTTTTATCAGCTACAGGCAGCGTGCGACCATGGTGCCACGGGTTAAACAACCAAGCATTTCTGGGGGTGGGCATATAATGCTTGCAAAAATAAGACAAATATGTTTTATACATGTATATGGAATCCAAAATCGACCATTTGAACGCTTTCCCAGTCACTAGTCCAAAACACAGCATTTAATACCTCAACTTAGGACTTGCTGATGTGTCTTCATGTTGGAATTCATGTTGGCCCTGATGAAGATTTCAAACCCATCATTAGATTAACTCTCGTCAAATGGTTTCTCAATACATAAAACTAATGTTAAAAGGATTCTTAAAAAGACATTGGAATCCTAGTCGTAAAATTTTTCTCCGAATTTTCTTTGTACAATTATTGACCGGTATATTATTGTTTTCAGCTTCGTAAAAATCCCATAACATCACATGGTGCTTGTGTTTTTCTTCACGTTATGAAAAAACACCCCTGCTTTGGCATAGAAATCTTTGATATTTCGGTAAGTACAAACAAAACAATCTCTTATATCAATGGACCCTCTGAAAATAGCAACTGCAAAAATAATGACCACAGAACGGTTTGGAAAGGTACCTTATGAAGCTCAATGATTTTCTCTCCACAGTTTTCACAAATTCAGCCTTCGATCAAGCAATAATTGACCGAAAAAAGGAGTGTATCTTATAGAAATACGATAGCTTCGGCTTCAACAAACTCTTACACATTTGGTTCGTCACAGAAGCCCATCGCTAACAAACATTTCTTAGTATCATCAAGAAACGCCTCTGTTTGTTTTCTTCAGGATATTTGTATCTCCCAAGAATTTATAGATCTATTAACCGAACTGAAGGAAACTCGTTCAGACTTTGATGTGAAACACGGAGGTACTCTTCGTGGTAAGGATGCATTTATACATCGTGAAGTGAAAAAGATAACTATGGAAGATCCCTTAGACGTTTTATTAGCTTATATCAAATCTAATGGAATGAGACTGACAGATTTTTTTCACCGATTTGATCGCGACAGAAGTCTGGGGATAACCAAACAAGAATTTATTACAGGAATAAAGGTAAGTCTGCGATTACTTACAGGAACCGTTCATTCTTGACGATTTTAGAATTTCTGACTCTGTCACAAATTAACATCAGCATAAAGTTTATAAGTAGTTATAAGCTTAACATTAGAACATATGTTCTTCCGATACCGGACCGAACACATCATCAGCTGCGAGGGCTCGATCTAATTCCAGTAAAAAGGTGGCACCAGGTGTCTCAAGAAAAATGATTATGTCCCAACTATATATATTGAATATTTTGGTGACTCTGTAATTTTGTGCTTCTGTGATAAAGGTGCCTCAGGAGTACAACCTCAAAGGCGTCACACTTTTCAGATGACCCAACATGTTTTGTCTTGGATTCAAGGTCTCAACACCACGGGTGTTCAAATACTGATATATTTATGACCCTTTAAACATTACATTCCAGGATGCCAATTTGCCATTAAATTTAGCCCACATAGAAAAAATAATATCTAGACTTGATGTAGATGGTAATGGTATCATTGATTTTGGGTAAGTCTGATACATGGAGCACATTATTATTTTCATAACGGAAAAGGGGATTTGAATAAACGCTCATGCTTTTGAATGGACAAGATGGTTTTGTTTAATCTGAAGGCAAAGCACAGCCGTAAACTGATCAGATGACGTTTTTGATTGTTTGAAACACATGGAAATTATTGGTCTCTTTACCGCTTAGCGAAATCTAAGAGGGAAAGCATGGTTGGGATAGCTGTCCGCAATGCTCGATGCTTCATTCTGGTCGCATCGAATATCCCGTCATTCTGATCCTGCCTTATAGTTCTTCAGACGTGATATTACGGATGTGATATCGACCTAAATGTAACGATTTCATATCTGTTATTCCGTCCGAGGAACAGGACACTGCCACAGTTGTCGGGCTACGCAGCCTAGCGCTGGCTTCTTCTAGATTCGTGTGCATGGGTTTCAAAAATTGTCGTTACAGATTCCTCGACACTAAGCGAAACAAGTAGTTTTATACTACTGACCGTCTCCATTGCATAATGCAAGACTTTGTCCATTCTTTTATATTCCAATCTAGAGCACAAAAATAAAATTTTAAACATCAGTTCTTACCGCCCTAAAATGATTATCATATATTAGTTATGCATGTGTATTCTGTCATGCTATTATGGTGTTGTGTTTACAGAGAATTGCTAGAAGGTCGACAGAACCATCTGGTAAGGAAACGTAGTCAACAAACGAAAGGTGCACCGAACATTAATCTACCCGCTTCAGGACTGAAATCACCGTGTACATCACCTAGAATTAAGCAGAAATTGGGAACGTTTAAATTTTCTGGGTAAGCACTATTCTTTACCACAAAATATTCTTCACATATATCCCGAGGTGCTATCCTGTACGCATGCGCTCAGTTGTATAGTTCTTTACGATAGTCTTTCTTTCAATTGACAGCTTGCTCAAAAGAAACACAAAACTATCAGTATACTGTCAACTAAACTTAGGGCGGATATGAATGTGCATCCACATTCGTTTTATTTCAAAAATTTGAATGAGTGCTCGGCTTCTTCCGAATCTCACTATACATTCATTCGCTTGTGTGATGGTTTAAGGTTTAATTTATTGTCATTATAGTTCGGTAAGTTTTTGGAAACGAACCGTTCAGTTTAACATGGACATTTCATATGTTTTTTCATTCCGCAATTGAGTACAGAACTTCTCTCGGCTGCTCTTACCATGGATCCAAGAAACATCGCACTTTGTTCTCACCTATTACTGTTAATTTCAGAATTTTGGGTAATCCAGATGAACTAATGATCAAAGCGCCCAGTCCAACGCCAAGTGAAAACTTCAGTCTAAAAGTACCAATTCTCAACTTAGCAGACAGTTCTTAGAGCCATTGTTCTATAATAAAAGGCATAATAATATTGCCTGTGGAAAGGCTAGAAAGTCAAACGGTACAAAGGAACAAGTTAGGTAACTGTTCGGGCTTGAGTTGCAACGAGAGAGAAAGAAAAGGGATGAATAAAAGAAAATTTCGAAACCCTGTTTTTTCCCTTACATTTACATTAGTTGATATTTTTTACGGTTTAACGCTGGTTATATACAGTATCATCAATATCTTATAACCCTTTAAAATGGATCTGGGTTAGGGTGTGAGGCTGTGAGCCCCCCTCCCCCCTGCGGAACTGGTGGCAAGTACTCCCCTAACTTATTGCTTCATGGAGGGAGACGCCACTGATGTAGTTCTTGAAATGTTGTGTCCATCGTGAAATAAAAATTCTTATTCAAATTAGACTAGCGTCTATGATTATTGCCAACTTGGATAAATTGGAGTTCAGTTTCAACTTCATTTGTTGATATCCGGCCTCCGTGACACTATTCCGTGAAAGGCAAAGTATTCTATGCTTCCAAATGACTTTAGAACTGTTGATGTCCACTTCACAGATACCATGGCGCCCGAAACTGACCACGATTCCAATAATGGTAACCTGATATCGGGATCTTCGTCAGATATTTGTAGAATTGTTCCATTATCTTGAGAAACTCGGGCTAGTTCAAATACCATAGTTCGACCATTGACGTTTCCAGAGTTTCTGTCTTTCAACAGCGCGTCCATAGTTCCTTTATCAATGATTACATCGAAGAGTGTATCTTTATATGGAAGCCTACAAACATCTGCCACTATGAAGTGAGTCAATGTCTGTGGGTTTTTAAACTTGACTCTTGACAACCACGATTGCTGTTGACACAATGCACTTTGAATAAAGTCTACGCAATGGAGATCTAAGGGTCGATGGGAATATGAACATAATGTTGAAGGAATGGACGAGGCACCACAACCGATGTCAAGAATTCGCAAAGGTTCTTTGTCATTTGAATCCAAAACGTTATCCAATTGTTCACAAACTGTCTGAGCATCTAAAAACCAATCAAATTGTTCATTTTGATTCAATTCCGATTTTGTATAAAACTCTTTCCAATACTTCTTGGTAGATAACTTGCTTAAATCTATGAAATAGACAATTTGAAATTTAATTCCGATACGATTCGGGTAGACTCAAATTTCGCCAAAAGAGAGAGTGTCTTACCTAACTAACCAACCTCTGGCAGTCCCAGACCCCTGGCCTCATTTTTGGTCCCCCTCCTCAGGCAATTTCTAGATACGCTCCTGAATAGTAGATCGGCTAGAATTGGTTGGGCAACGACCTCTCTCTTAATTTTGCCATGGATAGGCTATTGCTTGTCTCTGTTGTCTCCATAAATTTTGCCAATATAGTTTGAAAGTGACTATTGTTGCGGAAATCGTAAACTTCGTAATAACTATCGATGGGATGGTACAATTGGTACTGGTAGGGACATATCGTATTCCGAATCAATTTGACATGGAATATGGGGGCGAGTTTTAGACACGCTGTGGTAGGGATGGCCATATCTTGGTAACTGCAGCTGACTTAAGGGTTAGGAACAGATCTCTACGGTATAAAAGAAAATATATGTGCAATCTGTCGTAGCTATAGAAATTATTTGAAATTACAGTTGCTTTAACTCTGGGCTCTATCAATCCTGTGCCTTTTAGTTTTGCCAATGGCAATAGCACAGGAGTGGGGGAGATTCGTTTAACCAATTTTCTGTTACTAGAGAAATAGCCATCGTACCACGGTGATGAGAATCGTCCGAAAAACTTCTAGTACATGTTTTCCATCCCAACCAAATTGTTTGAGACTGTTGAATGTAGAGTAGCTTTGATTTCAAAATATTCATTTTGACAAGCACGTGGATTTGTTTACAAGTTAATGCCATTCACACCTCCACGAATAGAGAGCATTCAAGTTAAATTACCTCCCCTCTACTTCAGCCTACAGTTATTTCTTAATAAATTCCACAGAAACAATCCCATGATGAAATGAATTCAGAGATAGGATATTCTCTAACAATATTTGAGAATAATCAACCTTTGGCTCAAAAAATCATTAAAATATCTGCATCACTTTTCAGAATAAAAACTTGACACTTAGTTTGTCACCAATTAAAATAATATAACTGACATAAGTTTGATTTTTCCCATTATGAACAATCTTATTATTCCAAATGACATCATTAAATCATCTCTAAGATATTTGTCTTTATTTAATTGCAGTCCAACCATATGTCAGATTTTGATTCTGAAAAGAGATACGGGCAACTAAAAATTAAGCAACTAATAAACCATTTCTATACAATGAAAGACTTTATTTTTTCAAAATATTCATCACAATATTGGATGTTTTTAACAATAACCTTTGCCTCTGTTTAGGTTTAAGTTCACTACTGTCCAGTTTTTGATGACAACATTTTAATTTCTTGAGAACGAGCTTGCGTTTTGTTTTATCTAATGGAATACTAAGATTGTTATTCATTTCTATTTCTTTCTTGTGTCGTACTTCTTCCAAAACTTTCACTAAATCTTCCACACTTTTCATTTCAAAGTTACTGGCACTTTCAAAAACACCATTTTCAAATTCCAGAATGTTTCCATTCTTAGTTTTTGGGTCTTTTTCATAATTTTGAATAAAATTAACTACTTTTGTTTTAGCTTTGACTAAAGTTTTTTGTCTTGCTTTCAATTTTTGACTGGAAAAAGTTTGGTGAAAATTTTGTAATGATTGTATACAAGTCTCACTGAAATTTGGATATGTATGCTTATCACATGATTGGACAACTTCGATCAACTCTGCAATATTTTGACAATTTTCAACCATCTGAAGATAGTCTCCTGTTTTGAAACTTCCATTTGTGTTGATGGCTTCTGATGCTAAAATTAAACAAAAGTAGTTGTAAGAAACATATCATATCAATATAATTAGGTATGTGAACTCTCTTAAAGTGATGCAGAATTGATGAAATTAATGACAGAATCAGCTGTAAAGCTAATTGTGTGAAGGGGCAGACTGGGTAGATGAGCTTGATGCCAATGTCCACCTCATCCTACATATACTAAAAAAAAAGAATTTTGAAAAAACAAAATAACATTCCCCAAAATCGCCTAAAAACTGTAGACTCTACAAAAATGTGAACCAGCAGACATGGGTGCTGGTTACAATTCCTCAAAAGATATAGGTATAGAAATTTGTATCTTTTGGGTCCAATAAAATAGATGATGGGAGTTTGTTTTTGCAGATTTTTGAAGCCTACAATTTATAAACATGATTGCTAATTTTTACCTTCAGCCTTCCCTTCCTTTTTCTCATCTTTTTGAGGTTTTCTTTCTTTGGAGTCAGATGATCTCCCAATTGTTGGTTCAACTTTTTTCTTTTTTGGCTTTGGTTCCCATACCATTTTAGGCACCTGCAGATGTTTGTCATGTTTGGAAGCTTCAGATTTGTACGATTTTAGAAACAAGTTCACCTTCTTTACAGCTTTTGGAAATAGTTTTGCCTTTAATTCAGCACTGTTACCAGTTTTCTTAGCAACACGATATTTGTTTTGGAACAGTTTCAAAGTCTCTAAGCATTTCTTGTGCTCTTGAGTTAAGAATTCGGTATATGTGTTCATTACATCAATAAGGTCTTTAAAACTATCACATGTCCTGGTTGGCTTGGCTGTAGTTTTGGTTTGTCTTGGTGCTTTGATAGGCTCTCTCAATACTGGGGCTGAAACAGAAATCAGAAGACACATAATTGACAAAAGCTCATCTCATGCTGCAGACACACGTTTCAGATATACAAACCTCATCAGGAACACTGGTATCGAAAAAATGAATTGGGACTTGAAGCAATTGAATTCACAAAACAACATAAACCATGAAATCAGATAGTGTCTAACATCATACTCTCTCGTTCCTGACTGGGATTGTGATGATGGACAACGCCATGCAGTGTAAAATGAGGGACATTTTTTCAGGACATTAGCATTAGTCCACAATGTTTATATATCCATCTGTTAATTGATCATTATCACATGGGGCCTCGTTATTGTCCCATCCCAATTGGCCAAGATGCTTTTTCCATGGCAACCGCTCTGACCTGCATCACTGACAGGGAAAAAGGGGTTTGCAAAATCTCTACCTTTTCTCGGATAAAAATTTTTATAAACTTAACAAAACCGAGCTTTTCTTGAATCAAAATTTGATTTACCTCCAAGGTCTTCTTCAAAACATTTATACTCCATCTCTTCTTCTAGTTCATTTTCCTGGTTACTTGTTGCTACTGATAGATTATCATCATTATTATCATCAAACTTCATAGCATTATCATCATCAGCATCAATCTTCAAAGCATTTTCATTGCCATTATCATTATCATGATCAATTTTCATAGCATTATCTTTATCAATGGATGTGTCTTTAAAATACTGATTGTATCATAGATTCCACTTTATTTTGTGAAATGTCACTGAAATTAAAATAAGACAGTGAAAGTCTGGTGACCATGGAGAAGCCCATCATTCATTTCTTGTCAACAGATTTGGGGAAAGACAAGGTTGGTAGATAGGATCCTCAAGAATTTGAGTTCAAGAGGATGCAAACTTGTGGAGTTTCATTTTTTTAAACCCATCAAATGCACAAAAATTGAGCCAGTATTAAGAATAAAGACATTACCTTGAACATTGTAAATGAGACTGACTGTTTTTCTTCACAAATACTTCTAAATCTTTGGGTAAAGTGTCCTTAGCCGATAACTGTAAGAAAAAACCAATGTGATGTATGAAATCCTTACAATTCTTAAAATGTTTTGTATCATGAAGAATATACTAAGCAGTAAGCAATGAGGAAAAGTAAGTCTGTGAAGCAAAGGTAGAGTGCAAAACACAGGAGTCCCCTAAGGTAACTTCTGACAAGAAGTTTACTTGAGCATTAATTTGGTCAAACAACAGAACACTTTATTTTTTTGATTTTGAATTATCAAATACTCTTCTAATGTCAGTGAATTCCTATAGAAAGAAAAATAAAAATAATTGAAAAAACATACCCACTCAACTTGTGTTGCCTGTAGAATGTTCTGTAAAGGAAACAATCTTCTATACCAATTGATACAGTGTAAATATTGAGATTTACATAGTGCCCTGTATAATAAAATAGATAACCTTTGAGCACAATTATCACAGTAGACAAAATATATAGAACAAGAAGAAAACACACATTGTCTCACATGTCCAGACGGTCAATGTAGATATTGCCTGCAAATTTCAGCTTTTTAAGTATAGTTACTTACCATATTCTACTAGTAACACTAATATATAGTAAATACTGTGGTACTAAATGACCATGATCTAATCCCATCTTACACCATCTAGTTTCATAGTTAAGGAATTTCAAAGTAATATATATCAATATGAACTATCTGTATCACTTTTCAGAACTATACTCAAAGTACGATTCCCCTACAATTTTGGAAGTAACAACAGTCTAAACATCCATTGTACGTTTTTGTTGAATGGCAGTAAACATGGTTTGAGTGTATAAAAATATGAGTTATTGCCCTTGTTAATTGAAACATATTTGATTTCTAGTTTGTACACATGCTCAATATTCAAGATGCTGAAAACTTTAGAAGTGTTACAGACTGCAAAAAGTTCCTTAAATATTCCTCCGTGTGAAATAGGATACAGAAAGGCTTGATAACAGTAAAATATAGTTTGAGATAATAACATAGTTAAACTGATTATTTTCACTAGTAGAAACTGTAACATCTGTTGTGATGGTAGATATATAGAAATACCTCTTCTTATTTCAACACTATAAAATAAATTACAATATATACTAAAATAATGAAATGAAACGAATTTTACATCCTTCTTTTCTACTCTCCATAAGGCTCAAAATGGACAATACCATGCAGTGTACAATAAGGAAAATTTTGGTGTACAGTGACATTAGCCAAGTATTTTTAAAATGCACAGACTGAAGCAGTGTGCAATGAGGGATTTTTTGCTGTGCAGTGATTTCAATTGTCCAGGGATCTTTAACATGCACACAGGACCCCGTTTTGGTTTATTGTACAATCTAAACAACTAGACTCTTTTTCCATGCCTTTTTTAAAAAAAAAGTATCATACTCATCAAAACTCTTTTTGAAGTCTACGATAAGTTTCTTAATGTCCATCTCAATATATCTCTTCATACACTTTTCTATCTACAATATATAGTTAAATCAGTTTCCTTTTAATTCAAGAATCAACACAAGATATAAGCTGAATCATCAGTAGGCCTGCATGATCATGCAATTTGGAAATAAAATGAAAAGATGATATTAAATGCCATAAATAGAGCAGGATTTTTTTTAACAGAATACAAAATATCACTGTACAATTTTAAATGGAATTGTGACAAAAAAATGACTCATTTGCAAAAATTTGGCATAATGAAGCTCAATTCAGCTCTCTTAAAAAATTTTGAATTGCAGGAGATACAAAAGTCAGATTTTAATTCTCGAATTTCAAAAGCTTTTAGACAAGCTGGACTTGATTTTTACCATCTAGGAATGTAAATATGAAAAAAAATATATATCCTTGAAATTTCTCATTAAAATTGTTAAAACTTTCAAGTCTTACCTGTTTAAGGAATTTCATTGTTTTTTCTCGTCGAAGTTGTAAATTGCGTTTATATATCAATCTTGATAAAATAAATATCTCTGAAGAAATAGCTGTATCATCATCTAGTACTGTTAAACATTTCTCCAGTATCTGTTTCAGGGACTTCAATTTGTCTAAAATAAATATGTTTCGATCAATTTTCACTACATACATGATATATTCCAAATAATTGCAAGATTGTCTTTAGGATAATGAAAATGTCAACCACTGGAAAAATTAATATTTGTAAATATTTTACAGTGTCAGAGGGGGATTATTTTCAATCCAAAAAGTGGGTCATTTTGACTCTAACTTTCATGAAGAAAAGTGTGTTTACTTGTAAAATCACTGAACCTTATATTTCATGGACAAAAAGACATTCTGAAATAAATGGCATGCAATTGAAATTATTTGCTGTTAAACAATTCAATTCTGACATCACTGTGGTCAGAGAATACAGAGGCTACAATTAAGACTAATTAATTCAGGCTTTGACTAATTACCTATATTTTTCACAGTCACTTCAATTTTCAGGTTACAAATTGGTGGAGGTATTAACAGTTTTTGGTTCCAAATTGGAGATAAATCAGCCATATTCTTGTTTTTTCTCTGTTTGACTTAGATTTGGTAAAACTGTCTTAACCATAGACTCAGAAGCCTTTTTTCTCTGAAATGAAAAAAAAAACAATACACATGAAAACTACTGATCATTCAAAGAAAATGCAGAATTAACAATCAAAACAGGCTTCCTATAATGAGTCAAATGCTAAATTCATTGGCACTGATGCCTGATTCACTTTTCCCCCTCCTAATTCAGCTATTGACTCAAAACTTTGCAGAAACATACTGATATTGGTTTGTAAAAGTTCAACTATGATTATGAAGACCACATGCTTTTATAGAAGTCATTCTATTGCAGTATTGTTCTAATCTAGTTGGGGAAATTTAGTGTTGTCTGAAGCCAAATTTAGAACTTTCAGCAGTTTGTATTTCTTAGCCACGATTGACAAGGTTGGAAGAATGAAAGTTATGTCAGTTCTGTTAGATGAAATATAGGCGAGTATTTGTCAAATTGACGTAAATTAATAACTTATACGATTTCTGCAGGAATTCTTATAAAATTTACCTATTTTCACGTGAAATTTTGGGATTTAGAGTTATCTTCTCTTGGATAATTAAAAGTGCGGATTAAATATGGAGTAAGAAGAAGGTCTTAAAGAGGTAAATGCAAAGTTAGAATGTTTTCCAGCTACCAAAGAGATATCGTTTATGAATTGATTTAAATTTCCAAATAGAATTGGACAAATTACTAAATCTCAATGTAACTTGCAAATTTGATGAATTTAGAGTTTGATGATTCTAAAAAGTTTAATGAATCCACAAATGATCCGCTGTAATTTTTGCTTCTTGTGTTCCAAGGAAAAATATCCCAGAAAAAACTAAATACCCATCATTTAGTCTTTGATACCGTATTGCATTATTTTGCATTTTTGACAGAAATAAATCAAACATTATTTTGTGAGAATTTTGTCAATTGACATATCAAGAGAAAACTTTTCATGACGGCTTGTTTGTTGACATTGGGTCATGTGACATGGAAAATGGCTGAAACTTGTACTGTCAAAAACTAGATGTACAAAGGATTAGGTTGTAACTAGGAAGTTGCTGGCTTTTTGTCATCTAAAGTGATGGCAGAGATCAAATAAAACTATTAACATGTCACTGAATACGGTAAGTGAAAAACAATGCAGGCCTGTTTTAGCTTTTATACCTTTATAGGCTGCAGGTACTGTCTGTCTGAATTGAATTTTTTCTCATTTCATAAATATTCAAAAAAAATTTTCAATCGTATGCCATTTGCCATAGAATGTGTTCGAGTCCATGGAAATACGAGGTTCAGTGGTGTTACATTTAAACTAGACACACTTTCCTCCCAGAAAATTCACATAAAAATGACCCACTTTTCCGACTGAAAATTCCTCTCTCTCTAAAATCATTTTTACAATTAATATTTTGTTCAGAACCGTAGTTAACATTTTCATCAACCCAAAGGCTATGGAGGGGGATCATTGCCAAAAGTCAAACTTGAAAAAAAGGCGTTGACTTTACAGATCATATTTTAACATTACATAATTACGAAATACACCGTTCTAAAATCAACAAGTCAATCTACTAATTACAAAATAGAGATATTCATAGTTTACTTTTCAAACTTTATTTCAAATCGAAAATGGATCTTGCATTATTGACAAAATCAACTGTGTCTTCTTGAATTTACATTCTTGAAAGATGCAAGTTTGACCATTGTATACTCGAGAGTTGTAAGTACATCTTCTGCATTCTTGAACATTTACCATATAAGGTATAGTGACAGACCTCATTTACATGATCCGAAAATTTTTTCAGCACATATCCACAAATGAACGATAATAACCAATGAAAACAAGAATATACTTCTATGATGCAAAAATTACCCATGGAATTCAGAATTTTGGCATGTTTTTAATGTAGTATTTACAGGGTTTCTCAATTGAATTATTGTCTGTGGGGTCAGTATAAACTATTTATTCTAATTGTTTCTAAAACATATTAAAGGGGTATTACGCTTTTTTGTAAAAAGTTTTCATTGTCAAAAACGTTGTAAATTATACCTGAGAATGCTATTTATATCAATGTATCAATCTATTGATCAAACTGAATTTGTTTTAAAAGGGTTTATTGAAAACGGAAAGGACTTGATTATTATGCAATATGACCTAGTGTTGATGTTTGGCTTTATAATGGCTCAAAATTATTCGTTGAAACCTTTAGAATAGGTAGGGGGCAAATTTCTTTACAATTTGGCCTTTATATTGCTTAAATCTGTATAGTAGTTTTCTTCCACTCACTCAAAATCATAACAAACTTGAAAACCTTACGTAATGTTTTTATATAGTATAGGCGTTAAAATTTTTTTAAGCTAAAACCATTTCTTTACATTTTGGTGAAGAGTTTTCACAAATTTTTAAGACAAAAAATTTTTGACGTACAAAAAAAAGTGAAACCTCCTTGTTTCCAACACTGAATCACATTAACTTCAAACTAGATTTATTTTAGACGACAGACAGGTATTTGTCACTTGTGCTGGAAATGAAGTAAGAATCCGTGTAGTGGAATGATAAATTGAGCTCAGTTTTTATTGACTGTGCACTTTAAAGATGGGTTTCCTTATTTTTTAGTGTCAAATTGAGCAAACTATTTGATTAAGTGGTGTCTCTAATCAATTATCGAGTATTCTTAATCATATCATTATGTTCTTATTGCATATAATTAAGAGTTTAAACCAATCATAAATGTCATGTATGTACAGTCTGGACAAACAAAAGAAGACTTTTTGACCTTTCTTGATCGGTCACTCTTTGAAATTCTAATTTAGCTAATTATGAATTAATTATGGACATGTGAGACAAACTGGTATTTTTCCAAATCATTAAAACACCTCTGCTTTTATTCATATAAGTATTAGCATTTTCATTTTCTTAAATAGAATAAGAGAACCCATCTCAAAAGATAAGCTAACATGTTGAAAAAGAGTGTAGACAATTGACACTGTCCTGGGGAAGTATTCTTCAGTGTCCACTGTCTGTCATTGATTGGCAATAGAAGCAATCTGTACTCAGTTGACCTAGTGGACTATATCAAAGTACAAAGTATAATCAAGGAGTAAGCTTATACCATAATATATAACACAATTTTCTATAGATCAGTTAAAGAGATTGTAAAGAAGTTTTTAAAATTTTGTATGTGTATCGGGGACACTGATAGCATCAATTTGCAGCCATACACATGGTCAATTAAAGTATATCAGAGACTTTCTCCTTTTATCAAATGACATGACTGACCTCTTTTTTTCCTTCTTCCTTTTTGCAATTTTTTCGATTTAATTTTCCATTCTTTCTTTATTTGAGGGCCTTTGGGGACCCCCTTTGAGCCACATATGAATACTCTGGCTGGTATTTCTGTATATTTTCAATGTGTGCAAAAAGGAATCGAACATCTGCCCTTTTTGACATGCTCATATAAGATTAGAACACATATTGCTTAATAAAGGAAAATGACAATGACCTTGACCTTTGATATATTTTAAATATATTTTCCTCAATATTATAATGATAACAATCCCTATCAGGTGACACTGACTACACTTGTAGTTGAAAAATAATTTTATAATGTATATTATATCTTATTATAAGCTTATATCATGTGACTAGTACAGATACCTGTATATATTATTTAATGTGCATTATATATTGTTACCGTACTGTTTTTCTAATGTAATTCTATTTGAAGTGGATATTACGGGTGAAAGTGGACACCTGGCTAACTCTCGAAAGCACAGGCACAGGCATCAGAATTTTTCTTACATTGAGGAATATTCGAAACCCAAGGCACTTCATCTCCTAGCAGACGACAATCCAACTCACTACCGACTGATGACTGAGTTATTCCGCTGCTATAATCGAAGACTGGATTTTTAAGATTTCTTAAATGGACTTTTGTGAAGACCTGAGTTCTATTTTCAATAGATTTGGATCACAAGAACATTTGAAATGTATTTCATTTTCTATTGAAAAAGCAATGGGAAGAACTAGTAGATATAAACATTCATGGATAAAATTCTCTTGGTGAACTATATGTGAAATCTAGTAATTTTTATGCTCCCAACCAGCATCAAATTCTGATAGAAAGACTAACTTTAAATTGTAGGGATACAAAGTAGTATGTGGTTTATTTGTTACCTTATAAGGATACACTTTTCTTACATAATAAGAAAAATAGCGTAAAGGGACTGGTAGGCCATTTTCTTGACCAATCATACTTTAGTCTCAGAAACTGGAATTTTTTCACTGAGCTCATCAGAAATAGTGTTTACAGCTGTCCGTCGGAATTTGAGCCTTCAAATCCATGTATGTCCAGAATTATTCGCGTTTGAATGTTAAAAAGATTTCTCGACAATTTAAGATACTCTGTGATACAAAAAAAACTCATATATATATAGAAATAGTTGAGTAAAATTCTTAGTTTGAGATATTTTTAAAAGAATTATGTGATTTTCATACATTTTTTGTACCGCTGAAAACTTTTAACTTATATTCAAGACTAAAGTCAACCCACCAAGATGCTGCACATGTCCCTTTAATGTAAAGAGTTGTCTTATTACCATGACATTCTGATATCATGAGCTTATAGTGTAAATTAAAAGTGTCAAGTTCCAGCGTGAATTATGTCATGGACTGTTGAAGAAATCTTGCCGAATGAAAAGTGTTAAAAGGGATGTATAAACAACAGTATTATTAATTATCAAAATGACAGAAAATGAGCATTAGTGATCAACAAACGGTTGTTTATGTTGCCGTGGTGAGTTCTGCTTTTTTGCAGGTTTCATTTACTTGGTAGTCAAATCAAAATAAGCTTATCTTGTTTTAAAGGGACAGGTAGTCCTTTTTTTCACCAATCACACTTTAGTCTCAGAAATGGGAATTTTTTTAGCTAAGCCAATCAGTAATAGTGTTCACAGTTCACTGTCCAAATTATAGCCTTCCAATCCATGTATCTCCAGAATTATCTGCGTTTGAATGTAAAAATGACAATTCGTCAATTTGAGCTACTCTGTGATATATAGAAAGGCATTTATAGGAAAAGTGAGTTAATTTCTAGTTTGAGATATTTTCAAAGGAATTATGTGATTTTCGTACATTTCTAGTACTTCTGAAGACTATTTACATATATTCAAGATTAAATCAGCCCCCCAAAATTTTATATTCTGATTTAGTATTTACTAAACCAATGATTGATTTCCAACCACCAAAATTTGGTGATTTTTTTCGTAAGAATATATAACAATGTACATAATAGAAAAAAAATAAATGCGGATCTTGATATTTTTATCTGGTAATAAAATTTGTTGGAGAATATTTATTTTGTAGTTTGATATAGCAGCGTTTATTTCTCCATAAGGAAAACATCATTCACATTCATTCTATATTTATTCTTTATGATTGAATTTTTTTTACCTTCAATAATAATAATGATAGAAAACTTTTTACCTATGAAAAAAAACTATTTAAATTTATTCATTTTCTAAACATATATATTTTCAGCACACAAGTGATATGGTAACTGTGGCAACAGATCGAGAAAATGCTGCCAAATATGTTGGTCAAGTTCTATATCAAGGGGGAGGAAGACCTGTACAGTCTAATGGTAATACCAATAACAATAGTACCATAAGGTAAATATTCATATCATAATGTTAAAGTACATAATGTTATCATATTGTTATCATATTGTTATCATAATGTTATCATAATGTTATAATAATGTTACAATCTCTAATAATGTTATCATAATTATTATAATTATCATAGTTATCATAATATCTAATAATTTTATCATAATGTTATAATGTCTAATAATGTTATCATAATGTCTAATAATGTTACTAATAATGTCTAATACTGATTAGTTATCATGATGTCTAATTATGTTTTCATAATGTTAAAATAAGGTCTGATAATGTTATCATTTAATGTCTAATGTTACTAATAATGTCTGATAATGTCTAATGTCTAATTATTATAACATTATGATAACATTATGATAACATTATGATAACATTATTACTAACAATGTTATCATAATGTTATCATATTGTTATAATATTATTCAACAGTGATCTTTGAACACTATTACTGACTCCTTAGCTAAAAAATTCCTTTTTCTGAGACTAAGGAACAAAACAGATGGCTAACCTGTCCCTTTCATACCATATCTTATAGCCCTAGAAAGACTTAATATTTCATGTCATCTCTTATAGAGCTAGAACAAATGGAGATCATGAAGAAATTTGGGTGCCAAACTCTGGGAAGATCTCAGCAGTTAGAAGAACATTTTTACTACTGACAGTCTTTGATGTAGGACTAACTTTTATATTGTGGGTCATCTACACTCAGGTTCGTGTATTTTTATACATCTGCAAATTGTGGTGCTAAGTATATATCCAGTAGGGCTGTGATGATTCTTGAATTCTTCATTCAATGATACGATTTACTGCGATAATTATTGCAATTCATTATTTAGAGAAGGAAAGAGAAAAAATAGTAGAAATTTGTATATTTCTAACATGTTTCTAACAAGTGCTCACTATTAAGCACTTGAGAACGTGAGGAATGACATGAAAACATACTTGGAAAATGAAAACATGACACAATTTCTTATACACACAAGGATTCTTGAAATTAAAGGGGGCTAAGAATTAATTCTGCCGATACATCACGATTATTTTTATCCAACGCAATGCATCGATAAGACTGAAAGAATCGCGATTCATCGGTGAATCGTTGCAGCCCTATTATATAGTGGTAAAAGGGTTTATTAATGCAGGGACTGGCATGTCATTTACACGGAACTAAAAATTTATTCCGTAAATGACGCCTTAATGCGGTTTCGTTGTGATTGGCAACCAATTATCGAGTTGCATAGTACATGTAAATATTTTACTATTCTCTCTCTGGTCAACTTATGGTTGAAGTTTGAACTGATTCTTGTTTTATTTTTGAATTGTAGCTACTAGGATCTGGAAGTGGATGGGATACATTTAAATTACAAGTTAAAAATTATTCATTTGAAACTTCTCTTTTTGATACTGTGGTAAGTACTATTTAAATTCATTTCTGCATTAGTTGACCCCTCAGTCTTCTGATGACCTTGAATAAGTCACCTTTCCTCATTATTCCAGTTGATTCAGTTGTAATTGGTTATAGATAATACAGTAGAGATTAATGCCAAGAGATTCTTGAGCCTAAGTTGTAATCCTTGTAAAGTATGAATATGCCTTTCTTTCTTTCTGTCTAATCTTAAACTTTCAGACTGTTTCTAGCCTCTCATATGATGCCAATTGGCTGATATAGGATCAGAAATGATCTAGGTCCTGACTTTTGGGACCAACCATTTTGATGCAAGTAAAAAAGGATCAATATGGCTATTGGGATCAGATTATTTGGGAGGCAAATTTGGGAGCTAGAGTCTCATGCAAAGATACTTACAAATATTTGGTAGTTTTGAGGTAGGGAATTTGTAATGAATATACTTGACTACCATTTATCCTACCCCAAAATCAGAATAAACCTGCCTTGTTTAGGTTTGAAACCATTCCATTTTAAGATAGTTTATAAAGCGATTTTCATTGTCTTTTCAGATGTTGTCTTTTGTACGTTTTACCCTGCTCAATTTAGCCTATGCCTTATTCCGTCTTAGACATTGGTGGCCAGTTGCCGTAAGTTGACATTTTTTTTGAATTATTTATCAGAATTTGTGTGCTACAGCTATGTGCATTAAAGATCCCGACTGGCCAGTTGAAGATCGAAACAGGCTTTGGAATTATTTCCCTCATTGAATACTGCATGACATTGCTTATCTTCTGTAGCTCAATGAAGTAACGAAATGTTGAGTAAAATCCAAACTATTGTACATGAATATCTTCTGCTACATTGTATGATAGAGTAAGTGGAACAAATTTGACTAAATTACTATTATGTGCTGCAGACAGTCTCGGTCGCTGATTTTTGTTGCTGACTTGAATATTGAGTAAAATCTTGCGTGTGCCGAATAATGTGTTGCCCACAGGATTCATAATATCAAACAAGTTTTTATATTTGTTGCTGATTGTTTTATCAGACAGAGGGTCATCCTACAATCAGATTAATTTTTCCTTTTAATTGCATGATCTGCACGTGATTATCGACATAGTGGAATGACAGACTGGAGATTTTTGTCTCCTCGTGTGCCTACAGCCGGTCAGTCACACTATTGACATGACTCTAGTCAGTGACATAAATCACGACTGATACCATTTGTGCGCCCGCACATTTAAATTCTTAAAATATTTTTTTTTATTTCAGTTTACAACTCTGGGTACTTGTGTATTTTTAATTGTGAAAATTTTTGAATTTAAAGTAAGTAACTTATCTTTATAGTCTAATTAAAATTTAACCAAACTTTCATTCCGTTTTTTTATTGAATTTTTTTAATAATATAACCACTTCATTAAGGGTCTAACAACAGCCCTCTTGAACGTTCATCAAATTAACCTTTAGACCTTTATTAAAGAAGTGTGTTATACCTTAATATATTCCCTTGTGTCTTTTGTTAATTAAATCGTTATCATATCTTATTTCAGTTTACACAGACAGAAAGTGCTAAAAATCCTTTAAGTTATTGTTTAGTTATTGTATCATTTGTATTAGCCTGGGTTGAAACCTGGTTTATGGATTTCAAGGTCATCCCTCATGAAAAGAAAGAAATAGAAAGACATAGACTGTATGCAGGTAAAAACTAAATATAGCTTGATTAAATTAGTCAATTTATATTAAGGGGGTTTATGTCAGTCCTGAAATTGCAGGAATCTAAGGGCAACTGAATTTGTATGTGCCCACATGAAATGTGGAAATTCCAAATAAAACTGAGAGTTGAACAGTAAATGGTTGTACAACACTTGTAAAAAACTATGATGCTTTGACAGAATGAAGATATGAGGCTTTAGATAATGAAACACAATACACCATTTATTTCTCCAACATGTTGTGTGTCTAAAAACACTTCCTCAGGGAGTCCAAAACCAACACAATAATGTGGAGCTTATATTGGTGGCACCCATGTGCATACGTCTGTTGGTCTGCCCACAATTTCATGTAAACACTCCAGAAGGCATTTTAAAGTGACTAATAATATTGATATAGTACTAATGAAAAGGCCGTAGTTTTAATTACTTTAATATATTGGTTTGAATTCTATAATTGTAGGTGTTATATCACATACTGATGAAAGAACACCATTATTAAATAATCAGCAAGGTTTTGGTTCTCAGACACCTGGTGATGAATATTATTCACCGCTTGAGAGTGAGGAAGGTAGGTTTACTACTTTCTAAACACATCAAAGATTGACTTGGACGTTCGATGTCAGTACTAGATCTTTCTTGATCTAGACCATCTTTTACTAAACAAGTTTTACCTATGTGGCACTCAAATGATCAGTTTTGAACAACTTCCGTCTGCTCCATTTTCGGCTTCTATCGAGCAGTATTTAAAAAATTTTTCCTTCTATTCTTTTCACTGCCATTTTGAATCCTGTTTACAACTGTTTATTTTTCGGCACATGTGGAACACATTCTGAACCCTGTTCCAAATTGTTTCTATGAAATTCCTGTTGATTTTATGAATCCTGAAAGTGCAGAATTCATCAACCATGCACCCCATCTGATGTGCACTGGCAAAAATTTCAAAAAGGCATGGCTGGGAGATGTTTGATTGTAGACACCTTGCAGACACTTTCTACTGTTTTGATGAAGAAGTTTTGTTATCTCTTTATAAGGTTTTTATAAAAATTTAACTTTTTTTACAGGTTCTGACAGCGAAGAACAACATCATCATCACAGAGATAGATTTTATAGTGATCCTAATTCTAGGTCTATCAGTAGACCAAGTAGTTCAACTAGTAGTCTAGGCAAGGTTTGTTGATTTTATAGTGATCCTAATTCTAGGTCTATCAGTAGACCAGGTAGTTCAACTAGTAGTCTAGGCAAGGTTTGTTGATTTTATAGTGACTCTAATTCTAGGTCTATCAGTAGACCAGGTAGTTCAACTAGTAGTCTAGGCAAGGTTTGTTGATTTTATAGTGATCCTAATTCTAGGTCTATCAGTAGACCAGGTAGTTCAACTAGTAGTCTAGGCAAGGTTTGTTGATTTTATAGTGACTCTAATTCTAGGTCTATCAGTAGACCAGGTAGTTCAACTAGTAGTCTAGGCAAGGTTTGTTGATTTTATAGTGACCCTAATTCTAGGTCTATCAGTAGACCAGGTAGTTCAACTAGTAGTCTAGGCAAGGTTTGTTGATTTTATAGTGACTACCATATATCACAATATGGTGATATTTCGGTATTATTTAATCAGGTGATATTATTAACAATATAAATTCCTATACCAGTATTTATCATGATACCATTATATCGCCCAGCTGTAGAATAAGATCTAATGTGTAACATTCCATGGTTTTATTTTAGGAGTTAGATTATATTAATTTAGCAGCTAAAGCCTGGACTTTCCTATGGGATCTAGTGTGTATGGATGAAAGTGAATGGAGTTTAGACGCTGGTAGAGATATGATAGAGGGCTGTGTTTATACTAAGAAGGTTAATGGTGTAAAAATGTTTAAGTTACAGGTATTTCATTGCTGCAATTTTCACACAAACACATGAAGATGACAGTGTAAATATACATAGCCTGACAACATTTTTAGGAGATTTTTTATTGAATTGCGGGAGAACAGGATGTCAGATTTCAAATCTGATCAGTGTCGAGGAAAGGTTAAAGTATTTTTAATAAAATTAAATACTGCGACAACTATAGCCCACAATAACTCAACGATATAATCTCACTGGGGGTTATATTTGTATACCTGTGCCAGTGCTTTCGTAGAATCGCATAACAATCCACAATACCTATAAGATAAACTGGAAGATGGGGGTTGTATATGTCTCTAGATTTTGAAACTGTTTTATTTGTTATAGGTGATAATAGAATATAATGCTAAAGATTTATGGTATGAATTGGTCCATAGAGCACCTTCAGCACCAGATTGGAATCCTACTATATTAGAAAATAGGGTAAGCTTATAGTTCCTTCGAATCTTTTGGTTCTCTTTCCTGAAATATCTTGTTCACATCAGAACCTGTAACATATTTTTCCGTGTTTCACTGCAGCTGGTAAACCTTGTGAGAGGATCCTAGGTAATAAATATTCATGTAATATGATGATCAAACCAACCATTCAACACACTTGCACTGAATAATTTCTACTGTTTGTTTTGTAATTTTGCACATATGTATGCATGTACAAGTACAGGTCACTCCTTTCCAGAGAAAAATTTTTTTTTTAATTCTTTAAAAATCATTGCCTTATATGAAGATATTTGGATAAAGTGAACCACAGTCCTCTATATTTATTGATAAGGAGAGCAAAAGATAAAACTCCCATTTCATCTTCAATAGCATTATTAACATGCCCTTAAAGGGATTGTAAAGTGGTTTTTCTAAATTTTGTATGTATCTCAGGGGACAATGATAGCATCAATTTGCTGCATTCCAATTTTCAATTAGACGTCTGTGGTTCTAGCAATTCTAATATAACTAAATGTTTTATGACGTCACATGCCCCAAAGGTCTTTTGTGATACAAGCAAATTTTGTGGAAGTGGTGTCATTACACACTAGTGGAATTACAGAAACCACAGACATCTGATTGAAAATTGGAATGCAGCAAATTGATGCTATCAAAATATAAAATTCCCCTGCACAATTCCTTTAATTTGTGATTATCTATATTGTAGATATTATGTATAGTAGATGATAATACTGATGTATGTTATAGTGTAGCAGCAGAAGGTGGGGGAGGGTTGATTTCTAGTAGAGATTTTGTTACTGTCAGACATTATGGTACTAGAGAAGGTATCTGGCTATCTTCTGGTATAGCTGCTACTCATCCTGATATGCCTCCGCAGAAAAAATATATCAGGTAAAAACCTGCTAATAGTTTTATAGGCATGTAGTCATCTAATCAACTCCTTCATAGAGCAAAATTTAACCATCTGTATCACTTTTCAAAAGTAGTGTCTGGTTCTACTGATATTACATTATCAGTTTTAGACAACCATATCCTTTAAACTTGGCTGATGATTACTTAAATTCATATGCTTCTTCGGCATGGAAAAAATTCTAGCAGTCGGGTACATTGGCTTAGATAGAAAAATTCAAGTTCAGTCACAGACCTAGGTGGCGCTCGATTGGAGAGTTCAGAACAGGTTATGTCTGTTCCCAATAGATAAAAATTCAAAATTTTTTTTCCCATCTAATTCCTTCTCCATTTTGAATTCTGTCTGCACCTCTATTTTCTACGGCACACATGGAACGCGTTCTAAACTCTGTTCCATCTTGTTTTATTGAACGTTTTGTTGATTCCATATATCCAGAACGTGCAGAACTAACCAATCGAGCGGGTCCTTAGTACCAGTATATTCTGGTCAGTGTTGTCTGCTTGGTTGAGTAAACACCATAGGTTAGAATTCTCATCTCCAAATTTCTTATACCCAATGCTTTGGATAATTTGTGTTTCTTCTACTATTGTTTCACAAATGGTTTTTTTCTGTCTTGATATTACTATGCTTCTATTTTTAGGGGAGAGAATGCGCCTGGAGGTTGGGTATTTAAATCATCAAGTCAAAATAATTGTATATTTTCTTGGTATGTTAATACAGATTTAAAGGTATGTTTATATGTAAACTGGTTAGGTTTATATAGAGAAAAATATGTATTATGGCTTCTTATTGCACCAGTCTAATGATATGTAAAGCTATTAGTGTCCTCAATACATTTACAAATCTTTAAACAATTCATGCAGGTAAGAGGGGCTGACATGGAAAAAGTGTCTAGTTGTTCAGATGGGACAATAAATTGAGGCCACATGTGCTACAGGCTATGCACATTAAAGATCCCTCGACAGTTGGAAATCGAAGAAGAGTAGGTTAATGCAGCTGTCCAGGCAAAAATTTCCCTCATTGCACCCTTCGTGGCGTTACCCGTCTTCATTAGCCAACATGGTGCAGAAAAGTAGGACATAAAACTCCATTCATTTCATTTAAAACTATTCATGCTGAACGACATTTAAAAAAAAACATAACAAGTTAGTTCCCTTGAAATACAAAATTTGGTCAGATACTAGCTTCACAATTGTCAACCTACCAATGGCATTTCTAAGTGCATTTAAGGACTCTAATCGAAATAACGCCACTGCAACCCACTACTTCATTGATCATTTGATTAATTTGGCTACACAATGACAGGGGATGGTCTTTTTAACCTGTATTAAACTAAGCCCACTTCACTTTGGTTTGTGGGTGTGGAAATGAGATTGGTGCTAATTGAATCTGACCAATTAGATTGGTAGAATGGAAATGAGGTTGGGAAAACAAAACATATATTCGATTTGCCGCCACTCGTTTGAAGATATAGGAATACATTCTTTCCACCTTCCAAAGTAAATATTCCAACGGGTTTGATTTTCTATCATACTTAATTCTGTATCGTCCATATTGATCAAAATATTAAATGAGGCGTTGCCTTAGTTTTGTTAATTTTTGCGAACATAGCGTTATGACAAGTGGATTAATTTGATTGGCTGAGTTTTCCTACAAAGATTACAGGGGCCAATTTTGATTGGTCAATATTTAGCAATGAATACTTAATTATCCTCACTTGTATTACCATGGCCTCGAGAAAGTATGATGAATGGGAGTGTGGTTTGGACACAATGGTTCAAGGTATTCACAATTTCTCCTGTTGAAATAATAGTGGTATATTAATGGTTTTGTCCTTTCTGTTTTCAGGGATGGTTACCTCAAAAACTTGTTGATCAAGCTTTAGCCAGTGTGTTATTAGAATATGTGGTTCATCTTAAAAAACATGTTGTCAAATTAAAACAAAGCACACATTAATGTGATCTATACAAACTGCTCAGTCATTCATTATACAGTGCAGAGTGCAGTCATTGTTCATTAGGCATTACTACTGGCACTATAAGGAACAATCAAGATCAAGAGGCACTTTGAGAGACATGACCAACACTGTGGAGACTATTAAAAGTTGCTGGGAACAAGGCAGCGTAATTTTTTTTTTATCAAGGCTCAACAAAACTCCTAGGGTTAAATGAACATCATGATTTGATAACTTACATAACCAGAGCATGATTTAAAATTGTTTTGCTTTATTAAGACTTCATATGCATAAATAACTGTGTTTGTAAAAATTAATGATAGCTAGATACAAAGTCTATTATCGCTTCTGCACGATGCTTTTTCTAGAATTTAGATTAACAGTTTATTCTATGAAGACCTGAAGTAAAGCTTTATCAGCTGGAAAAGCAAATATATGATTGACTGTGTCCCTTTAATAGACAACTAAGACCACAGACAACTATAACCACTAAGTAGACTTAAACAAGACATAGCTAGAAACTCTTGTCATAATATCATAGCAGTCAAAGTTCAAATACTCTACCTCAAAACTTGTTTCTTGTGATTCGATTTGAAATATTACTGCGAAATACTGTGAAACTATGGAATTTAACTGCAAAGAACTGTGAAACTATGGAATTTAACTGCAAAGAACTGTGAAACTATGGAATTTAACTGCAAAGAACTGTGAAACTATGAAATTTAACTGCAAAGTGCTGAATACTGTGACATTATGAAATTTAACTGAAAAGTACTGAAATACTGTTAAACTATGAAATTTAACTGCAAAGTGCTGAAATACTGTGAAATAATGAAATTTAACTGAAAAGCACTGAAACACTGTTAAACTATGAAATTTAACTGCAAAGTGCTGAAATACTGTGAAATTATGAAATTTAACTGCAAAGTGCTGAAATACTGTAAAACTATGAAATTTAACTGAAAAGCACAGAAATACTGTTAAACTATGAAATTTAACTGCAAAGTGCTGAAATACTGTGAAATTATGAAATTTAACTGCAAAGTGCTGAAATACTGTAAAACTATGAAATTTAACTGAAAAGCACAGAAATACTGTTAAACTATGAAATTTAACTGCAAAGTGCTGAAATACTGTGAAATTATGAAATTTAACTGAAAAGTACTGAAATACTGTAAAACTATGAAATTTAACTGAAAAGCACAGAAATACTGTTAAACTATGAAATTTAACTGCAAAGTGCTGAAATACTGTGAAATTATGAAATTTAACTGCAAAGTGCTGAAATACTGTAAAACTATGAAATTTAACTGAAAAGCACAGAAATACTGTTAAACTATGAAATTTAACTGCAAAGTGCTGAAATACTGTGAAATTATGAAATTTAACTGAAAAGTACTGAAATACTGTAAAACTATGAAATTTAACTGAAAAGCACAGAAATACTGTTAAACTATGAAATTTAACTGCAAAGTGCTGAAATACTGTGAAATTATGAAATTTAACTGCAAAGTGCTGAAATACTGTAAAACTATGAAATTTAACTGAAAAGCACAGAAATACTGTTAAACTATGAAATTTAACTGCAAAGTGCTGAAATACTGTGAAATTATGAAATTTAACTGAAAAGCACTGAAATACTGTTAAACTATGAAATTTAACTGAAAAGCACAGAAATACTGTAAAACTATGAAATTTAACTGAAAAGCACAGAAATACTGTTAAACTATGAAATTTAACTGAAAAGCACAGAAATACTGTAAAACTATGAAATTTAACTGAAAAGCACAGAAGTACTGTAAAACTATGAAATTTAACTGAAAAGCACAGAAATACTGTAAAACTATGAAATTTAACTGAAAAGCACAGAAGTACTGTAAAACTGTGAAATTTAACTGCAAATGTTGAAATGTTGTGACATTATGAAATTTAACAGCGAAGTGATGAAATGTTGTGACATTATGAATTTAACTGCAAAGTACAGAAAAATTGTGGCAGAAATTTAACTGCAAATTATTTTTCAACTGCAACATTGTGAGAATATACTTGACAAATGTGATATCCCTGTATATAGTACAGTTGAAAGTTTTTAGTTTTTGTAATATAACTAAATGCCTATACGAGTTTCAAAAAGTGTTCAAATATTATTTCAACTTATCAACTGTTCAAACTTGTATCTGATTACAAGTCATTTATTTTCATGCATTTTAAAAATTAACTGCCTTTATACAAATATAGAAAAATATATTAAACTTGAATGACATTTAGAAGGGAGGAGTACATATATCACAAACACCAAGCAAATATTATGGAATAAACACACCTCTTCAAAGGAATACTACGTCTTAGAATGAACATAAAATTTAAGAACTTGGCCAATAAGAGCATATATTCATCAGTAGATATACCTGGTATCATAAATAACATAACAAGATCCTTATATAATCTGATAAATCCAAAAAATTAAGTAATTATTAACAATAAACTATTGAAAACGCTTAATATTAAAATTAATTGTTTTTCAATAATTACTTACTTTTATAATTTTTCCAATTTTCCAGATTTCACAGGGATTCTGTTTATGACACCAGGTAAGTTCACTGATGAATATATACTCATATTGACCATTCTTGAGAACTTAAATTTTATGTTCATTCTAAGACGTAGTATCACTTTGATAAAATATTGAACACATACCGTTTCAACACATATTACAGTGTCGTTATTTGATGACTGAACATTTTGTGTTTGATATTTTATTCAAGAAGTGTGCTTATTCCAAAATATTGCCTGGTGTTTGTGAAAATATAGTTATAAATATTGACATTGTGGTAATGAATCTGGAATGTCAAATATATGACAATGTCAACTTGACATTCAGAGATATGTATATGATGTATCAATATGACTCACTAACTGAATTCTGCAAATAAACAGACAGATACCGGTGAATATATTCTGAAAGTTATGAAAAATTCATAGGGGATTAAGATTATGTATAAGAAATCGATTTGATATCCCAATTATTTGTAGAAATATTCTTTGCAGTTTAGAGATATCATTGTTTTGTTTCCTTATTTACACTGTAGTCTCCTTCACTCAATCAAGTTCTACCTAATGACAAAGGTTAAAAGGTTATTTTATAATATTTACGACGAATTCAATTTCTCTCAAATCGTGGACAAGATTTTGTTGAAAAACATTTGATTGGTTGATTAGTGAACAAACCGTTCATATAGATGCTGTAAGATCTAGAATAAGTAAAGTGAATCACTAAAAATGATAGGGCTGTATTTGAAAAAAAAAAAACATTGTTTTATATAAGTCCATAACACATGGTTGGTTGGTAGATGACAAGTAAACGTTCGCTTCCAGCAGTTGCAGATATCGCAAACTAGGTAGTTGTTGGTAGTCGTAGTAGTTGGTAGTTGGATTGGTTTAAATTGGATGATGCTGTGTTGTTGGTCTGGTTATTGATACTTCGTGAGATCTGGTCGGGTCGAATGACATGGCAATGAAACTCGGTCCTGGGTGGTGTGGCGTGAGTTACTCGATCTTCTAAAATGCTATTAACTGTAGATGAAATTGAGCTCAATAGTAATTCATGTATATAGACTACTACTTCTCGGTAGGACACTTTTTATTTTATTTACACTTAATATACTAGAGACGGCTCATAATTAGAAATAGTGCAATAATTTAACACATTGATAGTTCAGGATAGTGATAACCTTTAAGTGATTTGTAAAAAAGTTTTTTTTAAATTGTGTGTGAACACTAAAACCATCAATTTGAACCATTCTAATTCAATCAGACGTACAGTGTGGTCCTGCAATTTCACTAAAACTAAGTGTTTTTTAACGTCACTTAACGCAAACTAATATGCTTTATCACATATAAGGCCTTTCGCGTTTAGTGACGTCATCAAACACATAATAGTTTTAGTGGAATTGCAGGAACCATAGACGTCTGGTTTAAAAATGGTGCAAATTCCTTTAAGGCCTATACATATATATATTCTAAATATATTTCCTCAAGATGCCATTCCCTCAGCCACCCTCTCTTCTCATTCGAAATAAAGAACCAAAAAGTTTCATGAAAGTCTTTCAGTGAACCGAATCAAGGCAACGTCTTGTGCCGAATTTAATGAAAAAAGTTGAAAAAAATAAAATAACATCCGCTAAAAAATATCGTTTATTTGATGTCTACGGTAAAGATAGTTACCGTTTGAAGTCTACCGAAAGCGTTGCGATAAAAGACCTAACTGACTTCAAACACCACAGGATTTTAGCTTAGTTGCGGCCCCCACAAAGTCTTGCATTTGACAGGATCAGGACCTCGACCAAATACATCAAATTGTTAAAGGGACAGATGCCCCATTTTCTATACCAATCATACTTTTGTCTCAGGAACGAGATTTTTTTTAGCAAAGCCAATAGTGTTCACAGCTCACCGTTGAAAGTTGAGCCTTCAAATCCATGTATGTCCATAATTATTCGCGTTAGAAAGTTTAAAAGACGAGTCGTCTGTTTTTATGAGATACTGCCATAAAAGAAAAGACATAGACTATAGAAATAGGAAAAAGGATATTCGTACATTTGTATTACTTCTGAATACTAGTAGTAAATATATTCAAGACTCAAATCGAAATTCTAGACTGGCGCATCTGTCCCTTTAACGTAGTCAATAAAAGAAGTGAAAATCAATAGCTGGTTATCGAACTCAAATAAAATATCAGGGCACTAATACCCTTAATTCGTAAGCGGATCTTTCATTGGATACCATTCTTTGATCTATAATATATTGTACATCAAGTCGCCTTTACAAAGTGTTTTTGTTTTTCTAACAAATGTACATAATTTATTATATTATCTTTATTGAATATTTGTTAAAGAGCAGAATGATAATTTATTATTGCTGTATATTTCAATAAATTATGTTTATATATTATATGTTATGTTATATTATGTATTTTATGTTATAAATTATTATGTATACCAGTATATGTGTACTGCTTGTGCACTCGAAAAGACTTAGTTTGGTCTTAGGGTTTGTAAGCACCTGTTCAGCTTGTTCGATTCAGAGAGAATCTTTTAATTCAGCAAGTTTCTCCTGGTCGGAATTCGAAACAGATGTCGATGTCCTTACAAAATTCCCCACAATTGCACACTAGAGGCGAAGCTAGGTTTACGTCAGGGGCAGGGGTTAGGAGGATATTTGAGATTGCCCGAATTTCTAACCTAGTTATGAGATTTTTCAGGGCTGCGATGGTGGCGGTTGGGGGTGATAGGGCCCACCTTTCGCTCCGCCACTGTTCATTTACATCATTGTATCCCAAATTTGTGAGCAACTTCATGCGTAGTGCATATAACTCCACGTCGAAAACAGAATAATTCAAAAACCTTCAAACGAGTTATTCCCACTGTGTTTTGAAAGCAGTTTGGGGACACGCTTTCGATCGTTTTTGACGAAACTAAAATAATTGAGAAATTGAGAACAAACAAAGGATATTTTTACGAGTTGTTGCCCTTGGTCTTTGAGTATTTTGGTGGAATTATGTCGTAATAATTTTTTCCCATGGCAATTTATATTTCTAATTAAAAAATAATACATTTTTATAAAAGTTTTTTTTTTGGATTTTTGTATATATATTATAATAAAATATAAAATATTCACACGAATTTAAAATATTTACAAATAATTACAAGTCAATCTAAAACCCCCAATATTCTGAGAGCGATTAATGGGACAAATTCGGACTTATTCCGACTTGGACTGTAGCAGTATTATATTCAAGTCATTTCAAAAAATAAACTAACGAATAATAAATCAAAATGATTTTCAGCTCGATTCCATTTCAACTAAGGCATTTCAACATCATAATAAATTTGCTAGATGTATTCAGAAATGAAATGAAATAGGGAGTTTTAGTCCTACTTTTCTGCACCATGTGGGCTAATGAAAACGAGCAACGCCATGTAAGGTGTAATGAGGGACATTTTGCCAGAACAGTGGAATTAACCTGATCCTTTTCGATTTCCAACTGTCGAGGGATCTTTAACGTGCACAGCCTGTAGCACACGGGGCCTTGGTTTATTGTTCCGTCCGAACGACTAGATTGAGTATTGCTGCAGTCCAGTTCGAAATATCAACTGAAAATATATTAATTTGTCTTTTCTCCAGCTAGCATTGCACCACTTGTTTTCACCTTTCTAAAAAAAAACACGTACCTGTACAAAGTCAAAGTCAATGATCAAAAGCCATAAGTACCAATCTAAATATTATTCAAAATAAAAATCTTCAAAGCTACATACAATTTTTCATAATAATATCTCAAACTAATAATAGCACAATTCATATTTTATATTATAAAAACTAGGGTTGTTATTTCAGAAATAATAACAGAAGTTATATTGTTGGAAACATTGTTACATTAAGATGCATGGCTATACTATTTCAGATAACAAATTACACACCCCAAAAGCAAACTTTAATGTTACGCATAGATAACAACACACGCATTCTGATAGCATCAAGATAACAGGATTTTAGGTATATTCAAAGAGCTACTCGTTGAGATAGTTAAGGATTTAACATTGTCAATCTTTTTGATAACAAAAATAAGAGAAAGTATATTGTAATACATAGAGGTTTTCACACATAGATAAGAACGTAAGTTATAACAAAATAAATCAATATCACAATATACGTGTATCACATGGGAAAAATTCTTCATCATCTGAAAGTATAAAACATTAGTTATGACTTGCTGATATACTGTCTCTGATGGTGAACGATTCTGCCATAGGCGTAGGAGACCCCCCACCCTTCTCCAAATATTATCTTTTCGGACAGCGACCGAAAACATATCGGAAAAAACCCGAAATCAAAGAAAAATACAGGAAAAAATTCATGGGAATACGCCTATGAGCTATAGGGTTTTGTACTGTAGAATATTCTAGGTGTCACATTCCGCCCTTGTTCAGTGAGTCCAGTACAATTCAAAACGTGATGATGAGATGTCGGAACAACAATGTAAATGTGCGCTTTGGACTCATAATAATTACCTACCGCCATATAACTATACCCAAAATTAGATAATATGTGACTTAATTTGATGATTCCTAATTTACAAAACCAAACGTTTGAGTGAATGTGCTGTTTCGAGTGAGTTACATACAATATATAGTTCAAACATAATACAAACCTCGAGAGTTTAAATTCTAATAAGACCTTCGAACACTGATAGAATCACCATTAAGGTACAGCCAACTAGTATACCAATATTCACAAATATAAACGTCTTTATATTCATTTGATGTGTTAGTTGGGGCAACTGAAATTTAAGTCCAAATAAAAGTTTAAAAACGCCTCTATCAAAACAAACCATACCAAAACGTCGGCCTCAACGAAGCCTTATTTATCGTACAATATCGTACAGCCCATCTAGACAAGACGGATCAAAGATACTGACAGATAATACAGCCCATCCAGACTAGATGGATCAAAGCTACGGATCAAAACTATTGACAGATAATGAAGCCCATCCTGACTAGACGGATCTAAGCTACTGGTAGATAATACAGCCCATCCAGACTAGACGGATCAAAGCTACTGACAGATAATAAAGCCCATCCAGACTAGACGGATCAAAGTTACGGATCAAAACTATTGACAGATAATGAAGCCCATCCTGACTAGACGGATCAAAGCTACTGACAGATAATACAGCCCATCCAGACTAGACAGATCAAAGCTACTGACAGATAATAGAGACCATCCAGACTAGACGGATCGAAGCTACTGACAGATAATAAAGCCCATCCAGACTAGACGGATCAAAGCTACTGACAGATATAATACCACCCATCCAGACTAGACGGATCAAAACTACTGACAGATAATGAAGCCCATCCTGACTAGACGGATCAAAGCTACTGATAGATAATACAGCCCATCCAGACTAGACGGATCAAAGCTACTGACAGATAATAGAGCCCATCCAGACTAGACGGATCAAAGCTAATGACAGATATAAAAGCCCATCCAGACTAAGCGTAATAAAAGGCGAAAGAATTGACAAATGCCTTAGCTTAGCCAATGCTGTACCTACCACATCAACTAAAGCAATGTATAAAAACATGCCGGCTGTTACAGCGAAGATCCACTGTCGAACAACAACATCTTCAGAAATTGATAAACCAACGTACAATCCTAAAAACGCTGTCAAAGCAGACATCACATTCCAAAATACTGCCCATTTTATTGTCATACCAGTCTTTAGAAGGACAGCAAAATCCCCTGGAAATATATCGTATAAATTACAGATGAAGAAGGCGTCACAATGTATGCTAAGGAAAGTATGGATGTTCTTATCCTCAAATAAATGGCCCGTAGACAGCCCAATATCTCCTGAACAGTCTCCCTTTGTGTATGCACAAAATCATCCATGGATTCATCGTGGATATTGACCCCAACTCTTAAGTTCATATGGTTTCATGTCCAACCTTTTTTTGCAGCTGTTTGGGCTATTAGGGTTGACGATGCATTGTGTAATTAGGGATAATGTTGCAAGGAAAACAGGATTAGCCTGGTCATATTCGATTTCCAACTGTCGAGGGATCTTTAACGTGCAGAGCCTGTGGCACACAGGGCATCGGTTAATTGTCCAATCCGAACGACTAGACGCTTTTTCCATGTCAGCCACTCTTACCTGCATCACTGACAGAGGGAAACAGAGTTGAAAAATCCGAAGATAACACTACTCATTTGAAGACTTGATTGCTATGTATACACGCTACCTTACCTAATTCATGTGGTAATTCATGACAAAAGACAGCTACACTGACTGCTATACCTTCAGTGGTACTATCTGTAAAGGCTGCACCAATAGCTAAACCGTCAGCAAAATTATGTATAGCGTCACCAATTATAATCATTAAAGCCAAATGACGCAATTCTGAAATACAAAAACGACATTCCTTAGTACACTAACGTCCTCTATATCTATTATCCTACCTCAATGAAATCAATATCAGCTCAGAATTAATATGTGAAGCCCAGTTCTTCTCAATAAAAATAAGAAATGCACAATGGGAATGAGGGCCAAACTGACTGTATTGCTTCTCTATTTTGATACATGTACTGCATCGCGCGTTTCTATGTTCATTCCGTACACGGAAAATGACGTGTGCGCTATTGTACTGGTACTGTAACCTGTACAATACTGTTGAACTAGGTACAAATGACCCAACAATTTCAAATTCATGTTTACAAAAGGAGCATATTATATGGTCCAATGATTGCAAGACTGTTGGGCGTATAAGGCACGACTTGGTAAAAAAGTACTCACTGTTAGATTTACCGGAGGCTACAATCGCATCCATTTCCTTATCTTGTAATTGTAAATCACCATTTTTAGTCTAAAAAAAATATTAATATCAATATTGGACATGAGGAAACCCCTTTTAAATCAATGAACATTCATTTCGAAAATCTGGCCGATGTTAGGTCCATTACTTAGGAAATATCATATTATCAAATCGACAAATTTCGACTAATTTGGATCACATATTTACATTAATAAACACTTACTGGATGGGGGGCAACTTCATTAAGTTTGAATTCATGCTACGATAAAAAAAAATATTGAGATAATCAGAATTATATTTGATAATAAAAAACACCAAAGCTTCAAGTACACAGTAGAGAATATTCTAGTTAAAGGGACAGGTTTACCATTAGTTAGACCAATCGTACCTTAGTATGAGAAACTGGATTTGTTTAGCTTAGCTAATCAGTAATAAGTCTTCACAGATATCGAACATTGAGCCTTGTGTGTCCAGAATTATCCTCGATTAAATGGTAAAAGGCCTTAAATAACTGCCATAATATATAGGAAAGTTTGAGATAATTCTGAAGGAAATTATGCGATTTTAGTACATTTCTAGGACTTCTGGAGACTATTTACATATATTCAAGACTAAAATGAACCCCCAACTGTCGAGCTGTGTCTACATGCAGGGTATAAAATAAAAAAATAGGAATTAACTTACAGAATGAACGTGTCCAAACATTGACATTACAGATTCTATTAAGAAGAACGCATATAAACCTGAAATATATATATTTTATAAAACGTTATTTAGCTGCTACCAATATTTGGCCAATATGTTGTTTGGATTTCGGATTTCGTTTTGCAGTTCAGATCGTTAGTACTGGGTTTATTTATTCACACCCATCAAAAACAAATTCCAGATAAACCAATCCTCAAAAACACATACCACCAAGTGCAGCAAAGGCAAACCAAACGAACTTTTCTACTTCAATTTCGTCACTACTGTGTTCATGGCCTTCGTGATTATGGATTCCAAAAGCCTGCAAACAGGAACAAAGGTGATTAGACGAGAGAATATATTGGAAAATCAATCAAAACATTCAACGTAACTGTTGTTCAATTTACAAAGATGAAGTGCATTAAGCGATATTAAACTTATTTCATGCCTCATGTTGATAACTTACGATTAGAAGCCCATTTTGATAAATAAGTCCATATAATCATCAGAATAAAGATTTCAACCATTCGTATGACATAAAATCCGATGAACGTTCCTCCCGCAAATATACAAAATCGTACTTTGGACTGTTGTTACTTTTGAACATATTTACATACTTATTGACAGTCTTTATATTCGATTTAACAGCATTAAGAGGTTTCTACTTCTGAAAGATACTGAAATTGGTGTAAATTTTGAAAAGATGTCTTGGAGGAAAATTTAGCATACCTCTGGTAGAAGATGAAGTAAAGCATCACTGGTAAGAGTACCAACAGCTAATCCCATAAACGTTGCCATAAAGTAATTATAACATTTATCCTTGGTACAAGGGAACAGAGCTGCACCCAGAACAGCACAAAGAGTTATTATAGCAACAGCTAATGTACCATATCCATAACCTAAATATAAAACGCAGTGGAACTATAAGTGAGTATTTACATATTCGAAAAGTTCTTTTTCGACTTATTTAACAAAAATTAATGCAAATCTAGTATGATAAGATGGCTAGAATGCTGCAAAGAGGCCATGGAAGAGTAATGCGTTCTCCAATACTAACTTTTTAAAGCAGATCGAAATCGAAATGATCTTGATTTCACATCCTCTTTGCGGGAACACGAGCGGTCTTAGTCGGAGATTTTTGTCGCCGATTAGAGTCTTTAGTAAAATCTAAAGTGCCCGTGCTCCCTTCACAAGATTATCTCGTCCCCGACAGTTTGACAGATCGTAATCGTCCAATCAGATTCCTTTTCCTTTCAATTGCATGGGGATTTTTGTCTCCTCGTGTGCCCGTGTCAGTCAGTGAAACTCTTGACAAGACTCCAGTTGTCGACAAAAATCTCCGACCAAGACCGTTCGTGAGCCAGACTACATTCACACACCATTTTAGAATTTTACATCACCTTTGATGTTCATTACAGTCATCTAAAAACTTATGTTGCATAGAATTATTTATGGGTGTTGCTTCAAATCCTACGATTTAAATGAAAACTTACGTTCAGCATCTGTTGTACTTGCATGACTGCTATGTGTATCTTCGACACACGAATCTGAGACTTGTTGATAGATGAGAGATGGACATAATTCTGTGAAGGCTGCCTTGGTCAGATCGCCTGTCTGTCCAAAAATAGTTAATAATTGATCTACGTTGTAGCACTTCTTCTCCTGCAAAAGTATAATGCAACGCTTTGAGAAATCGATGCATACAAAATATATTTTCTAGATAAACACCTGATGCACGAAAGGAATGAGGAACGCCCTCAGAAAATGATTTTGATCGAGTATACCCCGTATTCAGAATAATCATTTCGATGGGTAAGATCTGTAGCAAAAGCACTAGCACGAATCTTGTGCATTTAATGGATTGCAAAAAATTTTAAAGACTTTATATGTGTATCGTGGACACTGATAGCATCGATTTGCACTATTCCAATTTTCTATCTGACGTCTGTGGTTCTTGAAATTCCACTAAAACGAAGCACCACAGTCGCAAAGGATCTTACCTGTATGTGACTTCAGCAGGTTTTGCGATAGTCACAAAACGCTTGGTTTTAGTGAAATTACAGGAACCACAGACGCGCAAAACATAGCTTCCAAGTTGACCACCAATATTATAGAAAAGGCATTTATTCTGAGCTAATCTATATTATCAGCATGAATGAAATGGATGAATTATTCTGTTCTGCTTCATAGCATTTTATATTTCAAATCTAAATTTTTATTACTATGTCATGAGCTCTTATTCAATTGTTTGAATTTCTATACCGTTTTTTTTATTGATAAAATATACTGTTAAGATTACATTGTGATAAAAACATTAAAGTCGATATGAGGATAATGAAACAAGACGCTCTTTAAATCTAACGTATCTGAAAGGTATACGACCTCTTAGGATGACCAAAATATTGAAATTTTTTAACTTGGTTAGAATGAGTCTTTGTTCATCAGTGGACTTACTTGGTGTCAAAACTAAACGACAGAATCCCTCTATAATCCAATAAATCCATAAAACTAAGCTATAATTCATTCAATTAACTAAACCTAAATGTTTAGTTTTTTCTTATATAGAAATTATATTCTTTAGTCATGGCACCTGGTAATTCAACAAATAAATATATACACATGTACACATGCAAGTTTGTACCTTATGAAACATTAATTTAAACTTGTGTACCTAAAGAAACATTGACTTAAACTTATGTAACTTACGAAACATTGACTTAAACTTATGTACCTTACGAAACATATACTTAAACTTATGTACCTAAAGAAAAATTGACTTAAACTTATGTACCTTACGAAACATTGACTTAAACTTATGCAACTTACGAAACATTGACTTAAACTTATGCAACTTACGAAACATTGACTTAAACTTATGTACCTTAAGAAACATTGACTTAAACAAAATAAGTATCATTATTGAACTATCACATATCAGCGAAAAAGCTTTTCAGATACACGGTTCTTAAACTTGTACATTACGGGGCATTGATTTTAACGTCTGTATTTTATGGAACATCAAACGTCACACTATCACAAATCAACGAAAAGGCATTTCAGATACATGGCTCTTCTACCTGTAAATTACGAAACATCGACTTACACATATTATGTATCATCAAGCGTCACACAAGACACAAATCATCAATAAAAAATACATACCACAGAATGATCATGCACTTCTTGGCGTTTAGATCTAGATAACAGGGCTTCTGTAAGTATGCTTCTCTTCTTTCTTTCATGGGCATGATCAGCGTGCTCATCTTCGTGGCCGGTTCCAGTTATCTTTAGTTTTTCCATGATCTCTATTAAGCCTGAAATAACAATGATAGTTGTGGAAAGCTTAAGATTAAAGCGACTCTAACAAGCACTAAGCAAAACAGATAGAGATTACGTCCTACTTTTCACCTAATTTGGCTAATGAAGACGACCAACGCCGTGAAGTGAGCTTTTTTCGATTTTTAAATGTCGAGAGATCGTTATCGTGCATAGCCTGAAGCACTTGAAGCCTCGGTTGTACGCTCTTTACGTATTAGCCTCTCCGACTTGCAACACTAACCGGTTTTAAAAAACGGAAAGTATTATTTCGACCTATGCCGGAATTGAACCCTGGACCTTCAGGTTTGTGAGTATTTGTATGCTTTAAGATTTCACATTTCAAGTTTTGTTTCACTTGAAACTAAGTGGTTTTAGCCCAAGACTCATACACACCTATAATATATCTGACAGAAAATAATAGTGCAATTACCTTGTTCCGTCATGTTGCCAGTTTTTGCATACAGTTCAAATAACTCCTCTAGAAAAAACTCTTTTTTTGGTAATAACCGACACGTATGTTCAATCATTGAATCTATAAAAACATGATAATGGCACTTAAAACAATGATAGTCATGCAGTGAGCAATGAGAAAGTGCACTGGACTCGATTGTAAATCAAAAGAGACGCTCTAAGTATTGGATTGGCAAAAACCATTAAACCATTAGCTATATTGAAAGTATATTATATATAATTGATTAGAGCTTCGGATATGGACAGCTTTAGTGACCTAAAACTGAAGAAATATGTCTTTAGGACATCCCCAATCAAGCACGATTAAATGGAGATAATCGACAGTAGTATAATTGCTGAATGCTGAACGAGGGCTGCCCCGGTATGTGTTGGAGGTATGGAGTTGCCAGTTGACGAGTGTTAGGTGTTCGTGGTGACAGGATTGAGCCATCTTCACAATGACCAAGGCATAACGAACTTTGCCTTAAGCTTTGATTACAATGGCCACCTTTTTTGTATAACAATCAGGGCCATCGACAGAAAATCTGTAAATAATAAGTCATAATGTTTACAGTCTTTCATTCTGGGCCTCTGATTGGCTGTATTCGCTGGTGCACAATCCAATTAAATCGCTTGTAATAGCTGGAAAGATAGGATTGAGAAGATATTGAGTTATATATTATTTAACTGTATTATATAGTACTGGAGAAAGTGACACTTACGAGAGAATAGATGGTAAACAATATGACTAGCGACATCACCAAAATGATCTGTCTCTATTACTGGACTTTCACCACCCACAGAATGCATTATGACATCAGCTGCTAAACACTGGAAAATCAAAACATCAAACTTGTGTAGGACTTTCCCATTTTGTAGTCAGTGCTAAAAGATGCTACGCAACTATCCCTTCATCAATAATAAATGCAGAAAACCCATGTATATAAGCCCTTTTTATTCAAAGCAAGATAGCACAAAGACACATGCGTTTTCTCAGTCAATCAGATATTGTATATTATGTCTGATTAGAAGAGCTTATTAGTAAATTTAGGTGTGTTTCTTGTTGCATGTAAAATTCTATCCAACATTGTCCTGTACTCAAATTAAACATTAAAGATGTGGGATATCGTAACGTTTACATAAAAGTTTATATAAGGGAAGAATTAAACACTTCATATATTTGTTTCATCTGTTCAACTGGATAATTCAATTTCTATGGCAATTTTTGACCTGTTCTTTACAAATAAGAATGTTTAGAATTCTTTCTAAACAAAAGTAGGTCAAATGAAATTAGCTTTTTATGTACATGTATTCTATTACACTGGTGGCGGAATACCATGGTAAGAAATTCATATTAAAGATGGGTTCCTTTCTGTTCATTTATGAAATTGAAAATACTAATACTTATATGAATATAAAGTAGAGGTGTTCTAATGTCTTGGAAAAATACCAGTTTGCCTCACATGTCCATAATTAATTCATAATTAGCTAAATTGGAAGAGAATAACCAGCAGAATTCCAATGAGTGACAGATCAAGAAAGGTCATAAAGTCTTTTTTTTACTTATCCAGGCTGTACATACATGGACATTTGTGATTGGTTAAAACTCTTTATTATATGCAATAAGAACATAATGATATGATTAAGAATTCATGATAATTCATTAGAGACACCATTAATGAAATAATTTGCTTAATTTAACACTAAAAAACTAGGAAACCCATCTTTAAATAACATGTATGAATTTTGTTTTTTACTTATGTATAACAAATAATGATTGTGACCTTTGACATTAGTTTCTAAAAGGTATATGATTTTGAACTACAATTGAACACAAAGTCACGTAGCATTTTGTGTCACTTGCAGGGCGTTATCAACACTAGCGTGCATATATTTCTGATAATATATCAGCTGTCATTCTCTAAAAGGGAAAATGTTACTGACGTCGTATTTCAATCTGAAAAATGATATGGATGGTTGAAATTGATCTATATGAGATGGTAAAGCAAATATTTAAAGGTCTACATCCCTTGACATTTTTTAAATAATAAACTGAAATGTTACTATATCAATGTCAATCATTTAAAAATGTTACCAAATTAAAAGAATGTTTTATTTTCATCCAATATTAAAAAGGCTCTCCCATGAAATATGCTAATAAATACTCTATTATGTAATATATATAAAACAAAAAACTTTCGAAAAAGCATCCAAAAATTTGGTTATTTTCGAAACACCTGATTGTACTTATCTTTGGAGGAGTCTACTACTATACAACTTTTATTCTTGATTTTGCCATACTTTGGACGAGATTTTATTAACGGCATTGTCTTGCTTGTATGGATTTTTATCGTTTGAAGATTGTCGATTATATGCGTTGTTTCAATGGCCAACATTCAACATGTGGGAAGTTTTAGGTTACAATTTCTCGATGGAAATTGGAACGTTAAAGAAAAACTGTACATCAAATCAAATGCATTCTAAGACCATCATATGTATTTTGAAGTTGACATCCCAACCATCAAAATTACATTTGTTAATAAGAACAGTAGCATTAATATCTTTACCTTTTCTTCAAACATCAAGACCTCATCACCATGATCTTCATGTTCATGGTCGTCGTGGGCGTGGTTATGGTAACTGATATTGAGCGCTTCTATAACTTCTTCCAGGTGTGCTTCATTGGTACCACTAGTTCCAGCAGCTAACAGAGATTTGGACAACTCTGTTTTGTAAAAGTTTAAATCGTTCTCTGTAAGGTTAACCATTTGCTGACAGTATTTATTAACCTTTATCAAATGGTATAAAACCACGGTAGCAAAATTCTCAAATTGGGTCTCATTGATACCAGTGGCAGGCGAGCCTCCAGATATCGTTACCAAATCATTTGCTACAAAACACTGAAATTAAAAAATACAAAATACTATAAGATTCATTATCTGAAAGATATCCATGCATTTCGGGTTATAAAATTTCACCGATCACATTCCAACACCGAGTACTCTGCCACAAAACACTAAAATGATAAAATATCAAAATGCTATAAGATTCAGCATCTACTGAAAGGGGGCTACTTCGGGTAGTGAAACACTAGCTAAGATCCGTTTTATGACTTAACATAGAAAACGTATGTTTGTTTCTACTCCAATGTTCGAAGCTCATCGTTTATAGTCTAATATAACAGATTGAATACCAATGTAGAGGGACAGATTCAACAACCCAACAAATAGTTTCCAAGACATCATGTTAGGCGCAATGAGAAAAGAAATTTATTCAGATAATATTATTATATTCAAATATCTCAAAGTCATCAGACTTTTCTATGCCCCTAGGCTTCTAAAAAGTATCATAGCATAAAATTGATCCTAAGAAATTTTTTGTGAAATCGCACCTTGCCGTAATATAAAATACTATTTTTTAGCTAGTGAATGACCCAGTCAACAATCAAATATAAATTTTCTTTCCGAATAATAAATTTGTATATTTTTTCCAAATAATAATTAGGAACACTTCTGTATTAGAGAGAGGAGTTGGAATCGGGTTATTTAAGAGCGTAAGCGTAATTTTTATGAAAAGTTCTACGTTTCAGATAGAAATGATTGTGTTAAAGTATATAGGCAACGCCAGGCAGTGTATAACGCTGGAAATTCTGCCACAAAAGCGGATATGAAACAACGTCTGCTTTGTTTATAGGTACAGCTTAATGTATCTTGACATGGATTGAAAAAAAAATTTCTTGAATTGTTTAGATACATAAGAGTGAATTTTCCAGAAACAAAAAAGGCTTAAATTGTTTACATGTTTACAATTTACATCTACATAAAATTAATAATTAAGTACATAAACAAACGCGACAGACAGCAATGACGGATGGCTTTCCTCGTTAAATCTGTCAACCATCTATCAGTAAGTGTAGTTTCTTGTCGACGTCACCAATAAAATAGTTTTTACAGTGAGTCAGACATAGGGCCATGGCGTTGAGACAAGTTATATGACATTTTTATTATATTCTATTATTTGGTTTGTATCACTCTAAATTATATCATTATCAGCATATTATGATCTTTGTACAGCCTTAAAAGGGCAGTCTGATTTTCAAAGGGATTGTAAAGAGGTTTTTTAAAATCTGGGACACTGATATCACCAATTTGCACCATTCGAATTTTCAATCAGATTCCACCAAAAGTAAACCTAAGCTATCAGTGTCCTCAATACGCTTAAAATGTGAAGAAAACCTATGTACAATCCCTTTAAAGGGACAGATGCCCAATTATACCTTAGTCTCAGAAACGGGAGTATTCCTTTTTAGCTCTGCCAATCAGAAAGTGTTCACAGCTCATCGTAGAAATTTGAACCTTCAAATCCATGTTTGTCCAGAATTATCCAAGTTTAAAAGTTTAAAAGACGAGTCGTCTTTTCTAGAGACACTGTCATATATAGAAAACATATATATGGAAATAGAAAGTAAAATTCCTAGTTTGAGATATTTTTGAAGGAATTAAGCGATCTTCTGAAGACTATTTGCATAATGATATTCACGACCCAAACAACCCCCGAAAATGTCGAACCTGTCCCTTTAAAGAAAACTTTACACCAAAATGTAGAGATATTTCCCAGTATGTATCTAAAAGTTTTAAGTGATATTATCTTGCCGTTAAATTTAGAAAGCTAAAACTTTTGAACAGGTTTACAAATTGGAAAATTAATGTACGGATTCAAAAAAAAAAAAAATATTTATAGGTTTTGACTTTAACTATCGATCCGTTATGAAACATAAAGCAAAACTTCAGCAATAAGTACATTCCATTTTCTTTAATAACCCTTTTAAATAAATTAGAGTTATTATCAAGTAAATATAGAATTAAACACATATCAAATTAGAAATCTTAAAGAATAATTTACAGCGTCTATGATACTAGATAAAACATTTAAAAGCTTCTTCGTTCACACAGAATTGGGACGATTACACAACGAAACTACGTATGGTTCTAAATATAGCCTTTTCAAAAATTCAACTTATTTAAGGGACAGGTGCGCTATTTTTTCACCAATCATACTTTAGTCTCAGAAACGGAATTTTTTTTAGCTTAGCCAATCAGTAATAGTGTTCACAGCTCACCGTCAAAATTTGAGCCTTTAAATCCATGTGTGTCCAGGTGTTTGACTGTTCAATGGCGATTCATCAATTTAAGATACTCTGTGATATAGAAAAGACATATATGGAAATAGTGAGTGCAATTCCTACATTGAGATATTTTTAAAGGAATTGTGGGATTTTCTTACATTTCTAGTATTTCTGAAGACTATTTGCACATATTCAACAGTGAAATCAACTTTCAATATTGCGCATTTGTCCCTTTAAGTCCAGGTAGTGATTCTAAATGATAGTGAACTACGTTCGTGTGTATTATTTCCATGTGAGAACTATATTACGTAGTTTCGTCGAAATTTGAGCCCAAATCCATGTGTGTCCAGAATTATCCGCGTTTGAAAGTTAAAAAAAGACGAGTCATCTTTTCTTAAGACACTGCCGTATATAGAAAAGGCATCTATAGTACTTTTGAAGACTATTTACATAATATTCAAGACAAAAATCAACGCCCCAAAATGGCGAATCTGTACATATTATGTGTAGATATTAGGTTGTGATATAGTACAAGTGTTCTGATATTAGGTTGTGATAAAGGATATATGATACAGTATCAAAATTAGGTTGTAATAATAGACGGGTTTCCTAGGACTAGGTTGAGGTATATACAGGTTAAAATTCTGTTGTGATATCGGGTATAATAGTCATGATATTCGGTTGTCCAAAAAATTGTGGTGTGGTGGTTGTGGTGTGATACTCTTTCTATCACTTGAATTAACAACAAATGTTCGCCCGCCGACCGAAATTAGAATGAACGACCACCATAGGTTCGACGCAACCTTGTTTCCATCCAATGATCTTATCAATAATAAAAAAAAAATTCTGTTAAAAGTGGGCGGACATTATAAATCTATCTTTAAAGGAATAAACTATTCGTCACGTGTGGTCTCACTAGGCCATTTCATTGGTTGAATAAAGAAAATATGATTCATAAAATTTTTTTACGGATCATGAGTAGGAACTCAATGAGGGGTGTAACCCACAAGTAAAACCTGTCTGATTTGATTTGACTGGTTTGGCAAATTGGCAAATAATATTATGTATTATGCAAACTTCAGTAAGCATTTAAACTAAAATAAGCATTTTGGAAGAAGAAGAAAGACAATGCAGAAAATCATGTAATTCGGATACAATTTCATAATGTCTAAATATATAATATAGGGCCTAAACATATCATTGAGAAATAAGAAACGAATACACAATGGAATTGGTAAAATATACAAAATATGTATAGAAATAATGAGCTTCTGATAGAAAATATAGTTGTATACAGGATAGTTAAAATTGAATAGTGTTTACGCCTTATCAATATTGCATATTTAAAGTCAAGCACAAATATATCCGGGTCCAATTCAAAACATGAACACGAGCAGTCCATTATATTTTGGGGTAAAATTGATATTAAACTAACGTTGTGCTGATTACTTCAACAATTTTCATTATAAAAAAAATCGTTTTAAAAAGATTAATTAAAAACGGAGTGTACTTATATGTTAATTAAGCAGTTTAACCTAGTTTTGGTGTTGGGCCTCATAAATGCTCACTATATTAGTTGAAACAATAAGAATACGTAGGAGATATATACCCTTCAATTTGGCTTTACTTTTCATTCATTCGCACAGTAGTTTTCTTACACTTACCTAAAAGCATAACGAACTTAAAAAATTTACGTAAACTTTATAAATAGTTTTGGCGTTACAAAAGTAACGGCGGGATATTTTAAAGTTAAGGGACACATTTTCTCTACATTTTGGTGTGTATAATTTTATAATATTATTTTCTTTAATTTGAGCAAAACAAATTTTCGACCTAGGCAAAAATCATTATGTCCTTTTTTAACTATAGCTAAAAATACAATGGAGAGCGAGTGTTTATCCGTTTAATCAGACCAGGATGAACAAGAACATCTTTTATCAACTATGCATTTAAATGAGATTTAATAATAGCATTCCCATTGTAACTAGAAAAAAACCACAAAATCCCCGTTTCATTACGTCAACACAATAATATTTCAACTTTATTTGGGTAGGTAAATATGTATTATTCAAACCTCAATAAACATTTAAAATGATATTAGTCTAAATAAACTAACCGACAGAAATGGAATAATTACCTCATAAAATGATCATAAAAGCATAATAATGTCACGGATAGCCAATCTTGAATAGTGTGAATTGCACGGGGAAATGAAATGACATGGAGGTTTATGTCTGACTTTTCTGAACTTGATTTGGGCTATGGGCTAGTGGAGACGGAAATTGTGTCAGTAGCGGGTGTGAAGCAGAACAAGCTTACTCCTTTCGAAACACCCGATGGTACTTCTCTTTGGAGAAGTCCACTCCTACACAGCTTTTACTCTCGATTTTGCCATATTTTGAACGAGAGTTTGATTAACGGAATTGTCTTGCTTGTTCGGATTTTTATCAGGAAAGCGGTGTTTAATCAACCTTTGATCTCAAATAGGAAAGAAAATGTATTGATAAAAAAAGTTTTGGTTTTTCCAAAAGTATCCCAAACGGGAAAGAAAAATAATCCCAAAGAGAGGTAGCTCATATCAGTAGCCTATTGAGAAAAATGGGGAAAGCTCTGATGGGAATTAGCCCAAGCGGGAAGACTTATTTACCTAGTTTTTTGGTTATTAACGGTAGGCCTATAATGACAAATTCTATATAATCGCCCTTTAAGTAGACACGCACCTAAACTGTAACAATTCTTATAGAAATAGACAATATTAGTACAAATATTTGAAGGAGAGGAGTATTAAAGCGATAGTAAAAAGGTTTACTAAAAAAATTGTGTATCGGGGACACTGATAGCATCAATTTGAACCGTTCGAATTTTCAATCAGACGTCTGTGGTCCCTGTAATTTCACTGTAACTTAGTGTTTGATGACGTCACTAATTGCAAAATGGCCTTCTGTGATATTTTGCGAATAGTGACGTCATAACACATATTTTTTTGTGAAAGTTCAGGAACCACAGACGTCTGATTGAAAATTGGAATGATGGAAATTTATGCTATCAGTGTCCGTGATACACATACAAATTTTAGAAAACCTCTTCACAATCCCTTTAAATATATAGACTATTTCGGATTTATTATGTATGTTATAAATGACCTAAAAAAACTGAGTGAGAAGGTATAAGAAACGTCAAAAAGTGAAAATGAAAGTAAATAAAGTGAAACTGAGTGTAGACTGGTACGTACGTACTGCTTTCTATGAAAGAATTAACTTTACCCAGGCCAGTTTTCCCTGTCAGCATTACTGTTGGACCTATGTTGAAGGTCCAATTTGTACAAGGAAATAGCTTACTAAAGGTTATAAAATATGCTGCATAATCTTCGATCAAAGATATGGGTTTAAAGGCACATTCCGATTTTTTGGAAGGTCCAATTTTATTTTGCTAAAATATGTGAAATTTATACACTAAATTAATGTGGAGTTATGTGTCCCTTTAGGTATCTGAAAGTTTTAACCGCCAGTTGGTAATTTTTAAAAACAAACATTACGAAAGAATACGTAAACTTTGAAAGTTCGTTATGCGTTTTGGAAGCTGTAAGAAAACCAATGTACGGATTTAAGTAAATACTTAATTGTAGAGAAACAAGTCATAAGATTTGAACGACATTTAGAGGTGGAGAGTAGATATAACAAAAACACAAGGGGTATATTATGGTATAACTCACTTCTTTAATAACAAAGCACATAACGATTTTCACGTGTCGTAATCTGATGACGGCACGTGAAAATCGTGTTGAAACGTTATGTGCTTTGTTATTAAAGAAACGAGAAATAAGTCTCTTACATATTCTCAAGCTTTCAACTAACAATATTGCGTCATTATAAAGCCAAACATCAAAACTAGGTCAAACTGCTTAATTAACACTAAGTAATCACCGTTTTTAATTAACCCTTTTAAAAAAATTCAGTTTGATCAAGAAGATACATAGGTATAAATAGCATACTTTAGATATGTTTTCTCTTATAATTTACGACGTTTTTGACAATGAAAACTTTTCTCAAAAAAGCGGATTGTCCCTTTAAGACGCATTAATGATTTTTTGTAAGTTAAATAACTAAATTTATATTTATATTTTCATACGAGGTATAGATTAAAAATTTTGATAGATTGTCATAACAAGATTCACATTGGGATTACATGTTGGTTTTTATCAACAATAATAGAAGTTAATAAACAGCTAAATAGTTTAATGGTAGGTTAGTGATATGCAACTGATGTTGGTCTTTGGTTTACTCGGCTATGTTTTATTTACGACTTAACAGCTAAGTTGTTTTTAAAAGCTGGTTGGTTTGCGACTTAAACAGCTAAGTTGTTTTTAAAAGCTGGTTAATTTGAGACTTCAACAGTTAAGTTGTTTTTAAAAGCTGGTTGGTTTGTGATCTAAACAGCTAAGTTGTCTTCAAAAGCTGGTTGGTTTGCGACTTAAACAGTTAAGTTGTTTTTAAATGCTGGTTGATTGGCGACATCAACAGCTAAGTTGTTTTTGAAAGCTGGTTGGTTTGCGACTTTAACAGTCATTTTATTTTGTTTTTTGTAAGCCGGCTGGTTTGCTACTTAAACAGCAAGGTCGTTTTTAAAAAATGGCTGTTAAGTGGTTTTATCATCTTAGTTGTTTTTAAAAGTTGGTTGGTTTGCGACTTCAACAGCCAAATGGTTTTTTTTCTATCTGGATGGTTTGCTACTTAAACAGATAACGTCGTTTTTAAAAAATGGCTGTTGAATGGTTTAAACATCTTAGTTATTTCTAAAAGCTGGCTATTGTGTGTTTTTTTAAGTGATTCATCTGATTGGTTTGTGGTTTAATCAGTGGTTTTGATCTGTTGGCTTGAAATGTGATCAGCATAGTTATTTTGATCAGATTTTTGGTTTGTGTCTTCAACAGCTGAGTTGTTTTTAAAAGCTTGTGGGTTGTGATTTGATCAGAGGTGTTGATCGGATTGCAAATTTGGAGTTCGATCAGCTGATTTGTTTTG